GCATGCATTCTTGTATTTTCAAGTTTTATTTCCCCAGTCCTCCTAAAAGTCCATTTCCTTGCAATGTGTGCTTGGAGTTAGAAATAAGCAGTATTTGCAACAGTTATGCACGGCCGCTGAGATACATCCTGCAAGGCTAGATCATATTATTCCTAAATGTGTGTAAAGGTAGATGAAGCACGCACGCGTTCACGCACACGACACACACATGCACACACAACACATGCACACACACGCACGCAGCGTGCATCTGATGCTTGACATTGGCAACTAGAGACTGAATGCTGCCTTGTGAATGATTTTTAGTTGTAAAACTTTGGACAAGGCGCGCGGTGGCTCACGCCTGTAACCCTAGCTCTCTGGAGGCCGAGGCGGGCGGATTGCTCAAGGTCAGGAGTTCAAAACCAGCCTGAGCAAGAGTGAGACCCGTCTCTACTATAAATAGAAAGAAATTAATTGGCCAACTGATATATATAAAAAAAAAAAATTAGCCGGGCATGGTGGCACATGCCTGTAGTCCCAGCTACTTGGAGGCTGAGGCAGAAGGATCGCTGGAGCCAGGAGTTTGAGTTGCTGTGAGCTAGGCTGACGCCACGGCACTCACTCTAGCCTGGGCAACAAAGCGAGACTCTGTCTCAAAAAAAAAAAATAAATAAACTTTGGACAAGATTAATTATTGAATTTCCCAAACTTAGATTAAAAAGTCAGCTTATTTTTATTTATTTTAAAAGATTATTCACACTTTTTTTCTTTTTTTTCAGCCATGTGATTAGGGTATCCTTAGATCAGCTTTCTTTAATACTTTCGATGTGTAACGTTTAGGTACCTAGGCAACGATCTGGCCTGCGTTGTCCACGTGCGGATCGGGGCTGGGCTGCGTGCGGGAGGGTGAGCAGGGCGAGCCGGGCCCTGCGAAGCCAAGTCTCAGAGTGAGCGGAGCGGTCTCCCGGAAGGAGTAAGTGGTCTCACCGCTCACTGTCGCCAGGCTGCCCTGGGGCTCACTCTTCCCAAGAGCTATCCAAAGAATCTCCAAGTGCACCCAGCACCCCCCACCTGGCAGCACGGTTTCTCCCTCCTTACAGCTCAGGGTGCTCGGGTGCCTCTGTGGATGAGGCTCTGCGCAGCCTCCCCGGCCTGGCCCTGCACCTGCCCTGCGCGATGTCAAGGGAAGTGTGGCAGGAACCAGAGAGACAGAGAAGCCCCCCGGGCAGCACGCCCGGCGGGAGCACCGGCTCGGCTTGGGACTTGCTCGCTTTCTTCATCAAGGCCGGCCGAGCTCTGAGGACGAACGTGTAACCTCCTTCCTCGAGAGCAGCCACAAAGAATACACTGACGGCCAAACGGTCTCCTAGTTGGGAACTTTGTGTGTGGGCTGACGAAAGACCCAGAAAGAGATTATTTGCTCAAGTTCGAATCCTGTTTGTGATCTGGGGCAACTTCGTAACCTCTCTGGACTTCCGTTGCCTCATCTGAAAGGCAGGGATTACGATCCATTTCTCACTGGGTTGTGCCTAGGGTGAAAATGTGTCGCGCTTGGCATGGTACCTGGTTCCAGGTCAGCGTGCGAGAAATCGTAGGCGTTATCATTGTGGATGGGGCTATTATTGAGTCGGCACGGGAACTTTTGGATGTTTATGGTCCAATAGCATTGGGAATCATTCCATTGCATACAGTCACTCTATTATTATTAGAACAGTAGCCTCTCTGTGGCTGGAAAGCAGGGCAGGCTACCAACTCCATTTTGCAGAGGGAAACTGAGGCCCAGAGGGAAAGAATGTCCAGCCCGCTTCCCGGGCCTATGTCCTGGTCAGGAACTGAACCTGCACCGTACAGCCTCTCCCTTCTCGTCCTCTGTCCCTCACTTTCCAACACGGGCTGCTTGGTCACTGCGGGCTGTGCCTGTCCACGGCTGGGGCTGGCCATTGTGGACAGAGCAAACACAGGCCAGCCTGGGCTCTCCCTGGCATCGGAGCCCGGGGAGTCTGCCTGGCCATTCCTGACAGTTGGCAACGGGACACTTGGGACTGCAGGCACTTCTGGTTCAAGGAGAGCTGCTTCTGTCCCAACAATTTCCTGCCTGCCCTGCTGGAATGGCCGGCCCGGCTCAGTATTCTCACTGTCCAGGTCCAAAGGCCACCTGGGATTGGAGAGCAGGCCAAGAGTCGTGAGTGTCACCGTTCTGACATGGCTCTCTCGTCTTGCCCTCTGGCCCTTCTTGCTGCCTTTCTCGTTCCCTCCCACGTCTTCAAAGCCACGGAGATGCTGCTGATGTCTTCGGCTCTGACTACAGCGCAGACCACTCCCTGTCCTCCCAGCTCAGCCAGCTGCCTCCGGTGGCTCTGCCCCAGGACCCATCACAGTTCAAACCCAATGAGCCAACCAAAGCCCTGCTCGTCTGTGCAAACCTGTGGCTTGTCCCGTTCCAGCTCAGCGCCCCAGCCCTCACACCACCCTGCAGTGCCACGCTGAACACTTGCTGCTCGACGCAGAGTGCCACTTCGCCTCTGGGCCTTGGCAGGGGCCTGTTCCCTCTCCTGATGCTCTTCCCCATCGGGCTAACTTCTACTTATTCTCTCTCAACTTCAGTGTGGGGAGGGTGGCGGTTAATTTTATGTGTCAACTTGACTGAGCCACAGGTGCCCAGATATCTGGCAAGCATTATTTTGGAGTGTCTGTGAGGGCAGCTCTGGAGATGAACATTTGGGAGGTGGTCTGAGTAGAGCAGATGGCTCCCTGATGTCGCGGGCCTCGTCCTATCATGAAGCCCAAATAGTACAGAAAGGGTGAGTAGGAGTGAATTCTTCTACCTCAGTTCTTTGAGCTGAGATATGGATTTTTTTTTCCTGTCCTTGGACTAACTAAAACATTGCTCTTCCTGGGTCTTGAGCTGCCAAGCTCTGGATGGAACCACACCACTGACTCCCCTGGGGGTTCCAGCTTGCGACAGCAGATCCTGGGATAGGTTCATACTGCAGGACTGATTCGTATAATAAAGCCCTTAATTTATCCAGGGGTCTGCTGCTCTGGAAAGCCTGACCAATATAGGGGTCACCTCCTAACTGTCCTCCCCCTGCTGAGATTGTATTGACTGTGACCCTTTCCTCTCTAAATCCTTAACCCACAAGACTCGACCCTCAGCTGCAGCCACCAGACCAGAGCCCTCGGAATCTCTCTTGAGGAGGAAGGGAGGAAGGGAGGAAGGGAGGAAGGGAGGGAGGAGGAAGGGAGGAAGGGAGGAAGGGAGGAAGGGAGGGAGGAGGAAGGGAGGGAGGAGGAAGGGAGGGAGGAGAAAGATTCCAGTTCCGACACGGACCTAGAGAAAGAGTGAGCCCTCACTTGTTGCACGTTGCCAAATTGGTACCACATTCAAAATTATTGGTTTTGGATTTTTCACATTTTTGTTTTCTCTCTTTGGGAGGAAGGTTTTTTAAACATCCACTTTATTGACGTAGAATAAAATGAACGCATTTCAGGCATACCGTTCAACGAGTTTTCGTAACTCATGCATACAGGTGTAAGTAACCACCACCGGACCGCCATGAAGACACAGAACATTGCCATGTGCTTCAAGAAAGTGCTCTCGTGCCCTTTTGCCATCAAACTGCCCTCTTTGCCTCAGGCAAACACTGATCCGAGTTTTAAGATTATAGATTAGTTTGGGCTGTTCTAGAACTTCATGTCAATGAACTTGCACAGTCTGGGCTCCATTCTATCTGGCTTCTTTTGCTCAGCGTAACTTTTTTGAGACCCATCCACGTTGTGATGTGTCTTGGTAGTTCATTTATTTTTATTGCTGAGTCATGCACCTTTGCATGAAAACGCCGCAGTTTGTTTTTCCATTTTCCTGTTGCTGGGCACATGGATTGTTCCTAGCTTTAGCTATTTTGAATAATGCTGCTGTGTTCCCAGCTTTAGCTATTTTGACAAATGCTGCTGTGAACATTCATGTATAAGGCTTCACACATGGCACATGCTTTTCTCCCTCTTGGACAGTATGGTAATTTTAGAAGGCGACTGGGTCACTCTCTGACACGCCATCAGGGGGAAAATGACCATACGAAATGCTGTAGTTATAAAGAAGGGGTCTGCTTCAGTTAGACTGCAGGAAATGAATGAAAAGTTAAGCATCCATTAAAGTTTTAACTACAGACTACATCGAAACATGAAAAATTATTCAAATTGTATGAAATGGATAAGAACACAAATCTGTAAGCATATCATAATGATACTTGTTGAAAGCATTTATTCATGTGGATGAAGACTTGCCCCGTCGGATAGAAATGCAGCGGGGTCAGTCATTCCAGAGTGTTCCCTGAGTGTGCATTGTGTGCCGGGCCCTGCCCTAGGGCTGGGGGTGCACTGGTGGAAAGAGAGGCAAGTGGCCCCAATGGCAGGGGTTCAGGAACAATGGGGAGAACATTTCCTTTTAGAGGCTGGGAGATTGTTCAAGAAAACACATTTACTGGAGATAGACACTCAGCTTTTTCAGAAATGCCTTTTCAGAAATGTCCCTGCCTCCAGGGCTGGGCTGGGGCCCCCTGAACTTTGGCTCTTACACGGTTGTTACCACACTCGGTGGGACTGAGTCTATATTTGCGCTCAGCCCACCCCTGCACGTCCCACGCTAGCTGGACACTCCCCCTGGGGGCCTTCAGCACGTGGTTTACTGCTGGGTCCGGAAGGCTCGGTGCTCAGCGGGCGGGAGTGGAGTGAAAACATGAGAGGTTGCCGGGGGAGAGCCCCTGTGTTGAAATCTATGAACTCACAAATGCTAACCAATGTCACTCCAGCCCCACACCCACCTTGGCCTTGAATAAGCCAAACACTAGGCTTTTGTAACATCTCCAGGTCGGGAACCAGGACTCGGAGGCTGCGCCTACAGCTGGCTTTGGGGAACTTCCTGTGCATTGCCCAAGCACGGGCAGGATTGTGTCACAGACACAAAGCAAACACTTGCTCTGTGGGTGCCCTCCCACAGGCTGCTATAAAGCTCACTGAGCCCTCCAGCCACCAGCTCTGCCTGGCTGTAGCTGCCTCCTCTGCTCGGCATGGCACTGCCTTGGGCCCTCGCAGTCCTGAGCCTCCTGCCTCTGCTGGACGCCCGCAGCCTAGTGTGCACCAACGTGACAGCCAGGCCCATCACCAATGCCACCCTGGACCGGGTGAGTGCCCGGGCGAGCCTTGCCCCCAACGGCAGCTGCCTCCCCTGTCTGGCCGGCCCCCCCTCCTCCCCTCCCCTGCTCCTGGCTCTGCTGCTTCCTCTGCCTCCAAACCCAGGTGCCTCCCTGCAGCGTCCCACAGCAGGGGGACACTTCTGCGCTGGGCATCGAGGGGCCACCCAGGGGGATGCCTGGTCCTCGGGGTGAGCTCCTGCATGTCCACTCCCCACCGGGGGTCTCAGTCTCCCCATCTGAGAAATGGAGGGAGCCATCTGCCCGAGCCTCGCCCTGGGCGACTGTGCAGGATTCAGCGTCAAGCCGCTGTCACCTGTTCCCGCTGTCTTCCCAGATCGCTGGCAAGTGGTTTTACGTCGCCTCATCCTTTCGAGACGCCGAGTTCAAGAAGTCGGCCCAGGAGATCGAGACGGCCTTCTTTTACTTTGCTCCCAACAAGACAGAGGGCACGATAGAACTCAGAGAGTACCTAACCATGTGAGACCCCCACGCCAGCTCGCCCCGCTCAGCTCCTGGCTGCTAGTCCTAGAGGCTGGAAGACCCCCAGCAAGTCCCCGCCCCTCCTGGCCTCAGCCCTCCCAGCTGCGGAATGGGGAGGGCTGACTCTGGTCTCCGCCCGACTCTTGCCCCTGGTCTGTCATGGGTGGTCGTCCGCTTGTCCTTCACCGTCTTACTGTTTTTCTCCCACCTTCTGTCTGGCTTTAGCAAAGACAAGTGCGTCTATAACTTCAGCTACTTGAACATCCAGTGGGAGAATGGGACCCTCTCCAAATACGGTGAGAGCTGGTCCTCGGCAGGAGGGTCTGCCGTGTGCGATGGGATGGGCCCCCTGAAGGAGTGGGTCTGGGACTGAAACCTTGAGGCTTTGGGCACAGAGAATACAGGACAAACCCACTTGCATCTCCACGGTCCTGGTGCCTGAACACTGCAATAATCACAGTGATAACCACCACCGTTTCGGAGCTCTTTGTCTGTGCCAGGCACCATTCGAAGTGCTTTGCATGAGTCGGCCCACTTAATACTTACGAACAATCCTAAGAGCACGTTGCAATAATCAGACAAACAGAAGAACAGAGACCTCAAGTGGTGTCCCTGACGTCACATAGCTCGTCATTAGAACTAGAACGGAAACCCAAGGCTGGCTCCAAACCTGCCCCTCTCTCAACCATTCTTTAAGACCCTTGGGAAGCTAAGCATGGAAGCCATGTGTTGGGCAGGTGGTGACTTCATCTATGTCCCCCCCATCGCTGCAGAGATGGCACATGGCAGGGGCACACAAATGCTAATGGAACTGAACTGACAGCACGTAGCAGCCCTGTCTGGGCCTCATTTCCCTCATCTGTAAAATGGGGAGAAGGGCCCTGCCGGCCAGTCTACGTGAGGCCCCTACGATCCCACGCACCTAAAGTGCTCAGCGTGGGGCCGGTGTGCGGCAGGGCCCTGGGCACACCCACACTTCCTCACCCGTGAGATGGGACCGGTGTGCCACCCACCGTTCTCACGCAGAGGCTCTTTTCTCCTCCAGAGTCTGGAAGGGAGCATTTTGCTCACCTGCTGCTCCTCGAGGACCCCAGGACCTACATATTTGCTTTCCACCTGGAAGACGAGCAGAATCGGGGAATGTCCTTCTACGGTGGGCACCCTTGGCACCCCAAGCTCCTGCCCCAGCCGGGCCTTGCCCCACGTTCGCCCACCCCTGGGGCGGGTCCCCCAGCCCCCCAGCCCTCCCTGGTCTCTCGCCCGGGCCCTGCAGCATGCTCACCCAGCCTCCTGCTCCCCGTTGTAGCTGACACGCCGGAGCCCACCCAGGGGCAGATGGACGAGTTCTACGGGGTACTCGCCTGCCTGGGCATTTCCAAGTCCGAAGTCATGCACACCGATTGGAAAAAGGTAAACACGACCGATTGGGCAGTGTCCACCCTGTCCATCTTCCCACCCTGGGCAATACCAGAGGCCCAGAGAGGGAAAGCTGCCAGCCAAGGCCACACAGCAAGGCAGGTCTGCTGCTTTTAAGTACCTGCGTCACGACAGCTGAGCTCACGGCTCACGGCCCACAGCCCGCCGCCCCCATCGACTGGCTGTGGGACCCCGGGCAGGCCACCTGGCTGCCCTGAGCCTCAGTGACCTCGTCAGCAAAGTAGTGGTGGCAGTGAGGGGTCCAGGAGCTGCAGCATAAGGGCCCAGCAGGTCATAAGAGCTCGGTAAATGCCAGTTGGTCTTAAGGGTCTGAGCCCCCATTTTAGAGATACATAAACTGAGGCTCTTGAGAGGGAAATGATTTGCCCAAGGTCACCCAGCTGGGAAGTGGCAGAGCCAGGGTTGGGCCCTAGTTGGGTGGGTACCTCGGGCCAGAACGCATCCCCCACGGCCCAGAAGACCCTGCCCTTTCCCCGTCATTCTGCTCCCCTCCCTCCCGCCATCTTCCAGAATCAGTGTGAGCAGCTGGAGAAGCAGCACAAGGAGGAGAGGAGGCGGGAAGAGGAGTCCTAGGAGGACGTGGCCTGGGGTCAGGACCTTGGGGACCCAGCCCGCCCTTTGTACCTCAGCTCTTCCCTGCACTTGCATCAATAAAACGTCTGCATTTAGAACAGTCAGGCTGTTAGTCATTGTTCATCTGCTCGTTCATTCATTCATTCATTCATTCATGTAGAAGCCTGCGCTGAGTTGAGCCCTGGCTGGGCGCTGGGTGAGACCCTGTCCCTGCTCAGAAGAGCCCCTGCTCAGAATACCCAGCACACGTGCCTGGGTGGACGATGACAGGCACTGCGTACCGGGGGGCCCAGCACCGGGAAGGTTCCTTCTGAGTGGGGAAGTCTGGGAAGGCTTCCTGGAAGGGGCATCCGAACCAGTCTAGAGAGATGAGGAGCTTGATACAACCTGCTGTTCCTGAACACGATGCGTACCATCAAGTCACATGTTAATAAACACAGCCAGGGGTGGCAGGCAGGGAGAAGGCAGGTGGGAGGAATGGAAGAAAAAGCCAAGTGAGGAAGAAACAGGGGTTGGAGAGAGCAAAACCCGTGCCAAACAACGTGGACTTTGGGGTCAGGCAAATGTGAGTTCAAACTCAGGCTCTCTCCGGAAGCAGAGTGGGCAGAGGGCCCAGTGGAACCTCACTCTCCCCATCAGTGAAATGGGGGCGTGGCGGGAGTCCGGGGGGCAGAGGGACATGGAGCAGGACATGCCGGGGGCTTTGCACAGGGATCCAAGTCCGGCAGGTGCTCAGTAAACAGCAGCTGTTGTTCAGTATTGAAAGGAGCACTGGAAAGGGAGTCCAGGTGTGTGCTTTTGTGGACACGAACTTGCTGTGTGTCTCAGAACATCTCTGGCCTCAGTAAAAAGGGGCTTGTCCAGACAGCCCCTCCCTGCAGGTCCCTCCACTCAAGAGAGTGATGGTGCTGAGATGGGCAGAGGGGAAAATTGGAGAAACGAAGTCACCAGCGGGAGGCAGGCCGAGCACCCAGCAGGTCCCCAGGGGGGGAGGGCTCTGCTGGGGGACAAATCGTCCACCCCACAAACTGGACTTTAGAAGTCAAAGGTTAATGACACAGACCACAGACACAATGGCTTTGGGTACTTTTTTTCTTTTAAAGATCGATATGCATTGTAGCTTCATTTGCCCTTGTAACGAAAATAGATTTTTTAAATGCCCCAAATATACAGACTTCACTGATGCACACACACTCCAGAAATGCTGAGGTACGAGCTGCAACTGTGTGGGGAGCAGGGGACAGCCTTGTGGCCACACAACGTGCCCCAGGCCGGCCCGGCGGACAGCTGGCCACTAGCAATGCCACTGAGATCCTGGGGTTGAGGTACTGAGAGGCCCTTCTCTAGCTCGTCCCTGTCCCAGCCGGCCTGCAGGAAAGGCCTCTGCTGCCACAGAGGAGCCAGGCGCGTGCCACCCTGGGGCCCTGACACCCTGCAATGCCCCACTGATCACCTGTCGCTAGGAGCAAGGTCTCCAGCCATGGCCTTCCCAGAGATGCTTGCCCCAGAGCCCTGGTCACAGGTGGGGGACAGTTCGTTCTAGAAACTCTGGACTGTTCCTTTTCTTACCCGGCCTCCTACAGAAATCAGGAAAACTCCCCAGCTTTAAAAAAAAAAAATCTGTCCATCTGTAGATAAAATATCTATTATTAGCTGAGGGGCACAAGTGCAGGCCTAAAAGAGACCGCCACAGGAGCCACCTGGGCCGAGGCTGGCTTTGGTCCCGGCACCTCCACGAGGGGCTGGTGGCTCTGGGGAGTCACTTCCCTGGGCGACCAGGCGACACGCCCTCCACTTGACAGACCATGGGACTGAGCAGGCCGGGCCTGTGCCAGTCCCTCCTGGTGAGGAACGATGCTCTGGGCCTCCGCGGCGGCTCCGGCCGAGTCCTGGCTGGCGGGTAGCAGCGGGCCACCTGCCCACCTGCCCGGCCACCTGCCTCTGGGCCTCCCGAGACTCAGAAGAGGCAGGAGCCCCGCAGGTTGCGAGCCTGGCGCAGGTCGGCGGACAGCGAGCGGCTCATCTGCTTGGTGGTGGAGCGGATGCTCTCGGCGGCACGGAGGGCCTGGCTCAGGGCCTCGTTGAGCTCCTCCAGGTCGTCCAGGTTGAGCTGGATGCAGTGCCGGTGTCCCCGGGCTGGCCGGGAGGAGGCCGCGGGGGGCCACTCGGCGGCTGGTGGGGCTGAGGTAGGTCCTGCATAGTACCTGAGGGCGGAAGGAAGTGCTAGTTCAGACTCGCTGCCAGCCAGCGCGCTGGGCTCTGCGGCGTAACGGAATGAGCGAACACGGACCCCCACAGCCTCACCAGGAGCCGGAGATCGGGGAGACCAGGATCACCCCAGGCCCGGCAGCAAATCCCCCTCATGGAGGGGTGACATGGGGGTCCCACTTGCCAAGGGTGGGGTGCTGGAGAAAGGTGGTAATAATTAGGATTCTGCAGGAGCGGGAGGGTCTGGTCCCACGCACCCAGGGAACTGAGTGGAAGGGCGTCCTTCCCAGCCTGGCCCTGCAGGAATGTGGGGTGCTGTTTCAAAGTGCTGGGGGAATGAGCTGACAAGGCATGAGACGGAGCACAGATCTCCCCAAGAAGCGACTACTGCATTCATCAGGGTTCGGAGAAACGAGCAGTGGGCAGGCAGGGGCTGTGGCCTGTGTGTTGCTGAATAAAGTGTGTGTGGCGGGGGAGGGGCATGAGGACGCATTTGCCTAAATAAGGCAGGAGTGAGCTTAGGGGACCTCGCAGAGCCAGCCACTGGCACCTTGCTTGCTCAGCACACTGTAGGCTCTGGTTTCATTCCTGAGCCCCCATTTTCTACCTTGCATTATTTATCATACAGCGTATAAAAACAGGCTGGCGAAGATCTGAAAAGGCATTTCTCCAAAGAAGACATGCAAATAGCCAACCAGCACGTGAAAAGATGCACAACACCACTAGCCACCAGGAAAATGCAAATCTAAGCCGCACATGAGTCACCACTTCCCACACCTCACACCCACCAAATGGCTAAAATCGAAAAAGACAGACAGCGACAAGTGTTGACAAGGACGTGGAGAAACCGGAACGTTCATGCACTGCAAGTGGGAATATAAATGGTGCGGCCACTTTGGAAAACAACTCCTGAGCCCAGGCTTTTACTTCCCTACTGTCTAATGACAATATTGAGTAATGACACTATTCTCTGTGATGGTGAAGCTTCCATTTGCTCAGCCTGTCCTACGCTACAAACTCCACAGATCTCATTTGGTTCTTGCCACATGCCTCACTTAATCCTCATACTGCAGTACACAGTTGAGACCACTCCCCCATTTATCAGATGAGAAAGTTGAGGCTCAGAGAGAATTACCCTGTGCCAAGGCCACAGCGCTAAGAAGGGGCAGATGGGATTCCAACTCGCTCTGTCCGACTCTAAATCCAAGTCACTTCTGCCTCGACTGCCAAGTCTCTCCTGTCTGGGCTGATGCTACCTCCAAAGTCTGCACAAAAAGTCCTACGATATACCTGCCCACACCTCTGCAAAACTGTCATCCAAAGCAAGGAGAGTCTGAGAGAACTTTGACAGCCAAGAGGAGCCTAAGGAGACCACGGAACTCGGTGTGGGATTCCGCAACAAAGGACTTCAGATAAAAACTGAGGGGACCTGAATGAACTGCGGACGTTAGTTCATCATATTGCACTCCCATCAGTTCACTAGTGGCGGCGAATGTGCCACATGGATGCAAGATGGGAGTAAGAGGGGGAACTGTGTGTGCAGGGGTGGGACTGGGCGGGATCTCCCTCTACATCTGCTCAATTTCACTGTCAATCTAAAACTATTCTAAAAGATAAAAGCCTATTTTTAAAAAGGGATCATTCATCACTTGTGTGCTGGGAAGACCCACGGGGCACTGGAAGAAGTTAGGGTTCTCGGTCCCCACGAAGCTGTAAGCTCCCAGGGGGCAGGACCCTCTTGCCAGTCCCATTCACTGCTGGGTCCCCAGGCCGGACACTCTCCTTGGTACGTGGGTTTGTTGAGTGACTATGTGAGTGCTGGGCTTGCACTGCACATTGTCCACCCAGGGATAAAACACAGGTGCACGCGGCACCTGGGTTCCCAGCTGCCCGGCACGGGTCTGAGAGCTAACGTATTCAGAGATCCAGAAAAAGGCGAGGACGGGCGGAGCAACGGGTCTTACACAGTGGCTGTCGGATAAGGCATGACGGGAACGGAGGAGACGTAGGCAAAGGCCGCAGGGGCTGGTGCTGGGGGTGCGGCAGCCAGGTACCACAGTCCAGGGGGTGGCCGGGCTGGCGACCCTGCCTGCTTGCTCCTCCGCTTGGGGCTGGAAGTGGCAGGTGCGTGTCTCCTCGCGGCTGCCTTCTCTGCACCTGCCAGGGATGGACACCGCAGAAAGACAGAGTGACCATTTGGGAAGATCCAGCCTGAGCACCCGTCCCCTGGGACAGCTGGACGCCAGGCTGCCCACGCCCTTGTGAAACTAGTCCTCTGCCCTAACCATCCCACTCCCGGGCTGGGGAGAGCAGCCACCCCAGCTACACTCGCCGGGTCCCCGAGCATGCTCAAGGACAGCCGAGGGTCTGGCTGAGAAGGACCGGAGCCTCTGTCCCTACCGGAGGTGGCAGGGCCTGGGCCATCTCCCTCTGGGGGGGCTCCAGCTCGACCACACAGGGGACAGTGAAGGGAACCAGTGGGAGCGGGTCCCGGCGGGTCCCTGGTGGCGCCACCACCTAGAAGAGGAGGAAAAGATGCCAGGAGAGGGCTGCATCCGAGTCATTAGCCCTGGCGGCCCCATGCAGCCTTCCACACAGAGCTTTCTGCAGGGTCCGCTGCAGAGGACACGAGCTGCCTCCGAGTGGGTGACGGCCACATCGACGGCGACCACGGCAGTGAGAGCAAGCATTCAGCGAGCCGGGCCTCTGCTAAGGGCCTTTCTGCATTGTTTTACCCGACAAGCCACTGAGCAAGCTACTGTCCTCACTGCCCCATCTTACAGCGGGGAGACCAGGGCGCCCAGGGGGTAACTTGCCATGGTCTCAGAGCTGGGGAGTGGCAGCGCTTGGGCCTCAGGCACGGGCTCTGCTGACTGCAGCCCTGTTCGGCCCCAGCGAGGCAGAACTGTTCTCCACGTTGGAGTGGCCAGAACAGCCCCCCGGGGAGCCAGCGGGGTCAGCAGAGGCCTAAGGGAGCAGGAGGAGAGCGGACACCATTGCTCTCTTCCCACGGAAATGCCCAACACCGCGCCGGGGTGAGTTCCGGGGCCGTCTGCTTTTCTTTCAGGCCTCAGCTGAGCCCTCCCACCCGCCCCGGCTGAGTCATGCACCCCCAGCCCCACCCGTGCTCCCCCATCCCAGCTCTCACCACCCTGCTTTGTTAAGTGTTCCTTGGGGACAGGGCCTAGGCCCCAGTATAGGTGGGGGCTGCATGCATGAATGAATGAATGAATGAATGAATGGAGAGGCCTGTCAGGACTCCAACTCTAGCAAAGGCAGGGCAACACAGTGGTAAAGAGCTGGGGCTTGGAGTTACAAAGACCTGGGTTCAAATCCTAGCTCTACCACTTGTAAGCTGTGTGCCCTTGGGCAAGTGTCCTGCCTCAGTGTCCTCACCTATAAAATGGACACAACAATACTATAGTAATTACTTCATAGAACTGTGAGGATTAATGCATGTAAAACCCTTAGCATGATGCCTTCTATACAGTAGGGGCTTACTAAATGACAGCTCATCATCATCAGTCATCACCACTGCCTGGAAAGGCCTCAGAAGCCATCTGCTCTAACCCCTTCATTAAGGATGTGGAACCTGAGGCTCAGAGAAGTCAAGGAATTGGCCTAATGTCACACAGCGAATCAGGGCAGAACTTGGAGTGGAATGTGGTGCCCAGATTCTCAGGCCATTGCTGTCCCCACCATTGCTGTCTCCCTGCAAGGTTCGCAGGGAAGGATGAGGAGTGAACAGAGGGTGGAGGGGAGATAAGATGCAGTCACTGCGGCCGCTCCCCTGCTGCCAGGAGCCCACCTGTCGCGCCCCTGCAGGAACTTCTGAAATCAAGGAGGGTGGCTTCAGACAGCAGCGCCTGCAGCAACAGGTGTGATGGCAGACCACCGGAACAACTCTGTCCCCCGCGTGCACCTACAGCCCACCGCTGAGCTCAGGCCAGCTCCACGCCGGCCCAGCCACAGGCGCCAGCAAGAAGCTGCAGCCTTGAATGCCCTGGCCAGTTTCCAGGCACGGCCCCTTACCTGTATCCGGGGTCCTCGTGGGCTGGCAGTGGGGACAGGAGACTGTGCCGTTGCCTTTTGGGACAGTCTTCGGGGCTGGAACATGGTACTCCTGGCCTGGGGAAAGAAACCAGAATAGTCAGTATTAGCCCTCTGCATGGATGCAGAACTGAGGAGGGTTCTGGAACAACGATTTCTCTCCTCTTCACCCAAACAGTTTAAGTGGTCTTTCTCTCAAGTGTGCAATGCGAGTGCACATGCTCACGTCATGTATGTGCACACACATGCACATGTATAAACGTGACATACGTGTCCACGTATACATCGACACACACTTTAAAGTCCTCTCTTATAAGCTCTCCCAGACTCCTGCCCTGTTCCATCTCACACCCTCTCCTCAATCCTGGCCTACAGCAGCACCAACAAGCCCCCGCCGAGCCAGGATTTGAAGGCTAGGCGGGAAGAAACGGTAAATAAAGTCACGGTAAGAAAGGACGAGTGATGCTACCCCCCAGACCCTGATTCCTGGTTTGGATCTGAAGGCCTGGGCGTGGGGTCCGTGGCGTTTTCTCCCCAGGCTCGGAGTGGCTGTAAAGCGGCGACGAGCATCACCAGTTTCGTGGGCTCCTTGGGAGGACCCAACGGGGCGGCCTCCGTGAGGCTCTCCGCCCTCCGCCCGGCAGATGTAAGCACTCGGTGTCACTAGGAGGCTGGGCGGCCTCTTCGGTCCTCCTCGCCCAGCCCCCATCTCCGGCCTCACCCGCCCCCACGTCTCAAGTCTAAGACCTTCAGGATGTCGCCTGAAGCCACCGTGGAGGGGCTTTCCCCCTCCTCATCTTTTCCCCTCCCGTGCCGTTCCGTCTGTGCCGCGGGGCTCACGCGTCATACTGTGCAGGAGGCACTGGGGCCCCGGACTTCCCGATGCTCTCATTTCTAACTCCTCGCGTGCTTCTGGTGTCCTGCCTGGTCCCTGGTGCCTGAGGTTGGCGGCCCTCCCTCCCAGCAGGTGTCAGTGAGAGACACGCCGGCCCGACCGTGATTGCTCACGTGGTGCCGTCTTCCCTGCTATGCAGGCAGAGTCATGAAGGGGGAACCCTGCCCGTGTGCATCGTGTCCATGCTAAGCACTTGACATACTACACGTCATCTCTTCCTAACCATTTTTTTAAATTATTTTATTTTTTTAGAGACAGGGTCTTGCTCTGTCACCCAGGCTAGAGTGCAGTGGTGATATCATAGCTCACTGCAGCCTCGAACTCCTGGGCTCAAGCAATCCTCCTGCCTCAGCCTCCTGAGTTGCTGGGATTACAGGGGCATGCCACCACGCCTAGCCTGGCTAAGTTTCCTAATTTTTTTGTAGAGACGGGGGTCTCACTGTTTCCCAGGCTGGTCTTGAACTCCTGGCCTCAAACCATTCTCCTGCCTCAGCCTCCCAAAGTGCTGGGACCATAGGCGTGAGCCACCACGCCCAGCCCCTGTGTGTCATCTCAAGCTCTACTTTGTGCCAGGTGCCCTGTTCATGAGACACAGAGCCCCCTGGGGCATCAGAACCTGCAGGTAAGCCAGGTGTAAACGACACACGATTCAGTGTCCACACTGTATGCCCCAGGCTGGCAAAGAGAAGGGGACCACAAAACCCCTTTATGATCGACCAGCTGAATGGGCTTCCCAGGACCAAGCATGCACCCTGGCCAAGGGGAGAGGCATCAGGAACTGTTTGCTGAATGAATGAATGAACGAATACACTGAGACTCGTGGAGGCAGTGCTCCCTGCTGGTTTTCATATCAGGAATGCATAGAAAATGGTAACATGTGAACGGCTCACTGGTAAACAGAAAAGGCTCTCACCCTGGCCCTCCCTCCCTGGAGACCTACCTGTGTACTGGCCCCGGAAGGTGACCCTATCTGGCCGTCTGGCGCCGCCCACCCCTCTCTTCCCATCCTGAGCTGTCCTCAGGCTCTCCTCGCTGGTCCTGCTCTTCTCGGAGAACAGCCGGAGGGAGGGCAGCTCAGACTCCGAACCTGGGGTGCGAACAGAGGGGCATCAGAGGGGGCAGCGGTGGGGTCACACAGCTCAAAAGTGGGCGTACCACGAGTCCAGGCTCTGGGGCAGGTGCCCGGAGTTTAACCCCAAGCTGCCCCTGAGTCATAAGAGCCGATGTTTCCAGAGCCCCGACCCCACGCTGAGTGCCAGCCTGGACACTGCGTGCTGCGTCCTGCACCTCGCAGCAATCCCACGAGGCGGACACTATCAGCACTGCCCGGTGAGCTGGCCCTTTAACCGCTCAAGCAGGCAAACGACCCGGCCAAGGACACGTGGAGGAGAGCTGGGGCTGAATCCCGGCCACTGACTCCAGAGCCACGGCCCTGCAGGCGCGTCCCTTGCGCTCCCTGAGCTTCAGTGTCCTTGTCTGCAGGGTGTGAATGATACGGTCACCTTGCGGTGGAGGTTGAGCAGGATGACATTCTACAGACGCCCCAGCCAGAGCAGGCGTGCAGAACCCCAGGAGTGCACGTGCTTCCGAGCACCCAAACAGCCTAACGCAGACGCACGGAAACCTCCACGCCTCCTTCTGCTCTGCGGCTGTGGTCTCTGGCCACTGAGCCCACGTGCTCAGACCGTGGCCTCCAGAAACCGGTCCTGGCAGGTGGTCACTTACTCAGGGACGGCCGGGGCACCTCCCGAGGCACTGAGGAGGACCTGGCCCGCTGCCTTCCTGCGGAGACAGTCTGCTCTTCGCCTCCAGGCTCACCAGACAATCTCTCTGTGGATTTACTAGCGAAAGGAGAGACAGAGAATGTCACCGTGCGGGAGGTTCTATGCAGCCGTTAAAGAGGATCTGGGGGACGGTCCACCGGGAGAAGCGTTTATAACACAATGGGAGGAAGAGACCACGGAAGTCAAAACCAAAGACTCTGCAATCAGTCTCAGAGAAAACGGCTCTGAGACTCTCTGACCCTCAGTTTCCTCATCTGTCAAATGGGGATCACAAGAGTGATTGCCGCAGAGGGTTGCTGGAAGGATAAATGAGACAATGTCCATGAAACCGTAACCCAGTGGAAACACTCAAAAGAAGGTGGCTGATTTTATGAGTGCTCTTCATGAACAAGTGACCACTGAGCAGGCGGGTGAGAGGGTGGGTGCCCTGGAAATGTTCTTACTCTTCGGTTGGGGGTGGGTTCAGGGATATTCACTGTATTGTGCTTTATTATTAACACACAGGCTTTGATATTTTTTTATGCATCGAGCACTACAGCATGAACGAATCTAAGAGTGAATGAGAGTGTGGACGAGCGGGAGAGGGACGTGGCAGTGCCTAGTCCACACGGCCAGGAGAGCCAGGGGCCAGCCAAGTCTGTCTTCTGCGGCTGCCGCCAGGGCAGAGAGCCGGGGGTTTGGGGGCTCACCCACCTGCCACAGTGGGAGCCCCAGGTGGCTGAGGAATCCCTCGGCCGGTCCTGGGTCCGGGCGGGGTGGTCAAAGGCAGACACGGGGTGCGTCGGGCTGCCCCGGGGTGGCCGGTGCAGACTGTCCTCCAGCCGCAGACGGAGCCGGGACACCTCTGCCTGCAGCTCCCGGATGGCCTGGCTGGGGTCGGGGTGAGAGAAACGAGAGCAGATCCGTGAGGAACAGAGCTATGGCCCCCCGCCAGAGCGTGCCCGGGTGCAGCGGCCTTTGTCCCTTCCCGGCAGGCGCGGGGCCCAACTCTGCTGTCAGATGATTCTAGAACTTCCCTGCGCATTACATCTTGACACCTTTCTGAGTCCATATCCCCGTGCACTTGGTGAACAAAACAGAACCTTTCTTTGAAGCTTGCCCTTCCTAACACACAGCGGCTGAGCAGCTGTTGGGAAACACCAGCGACAAATGCTCAAGGCAGAGGGGAGGGTGCAGAATAAAGAAGGGACCCACTGAAGCCAAATGGCTCAGACTTCCGGCCCTCGCTGGCTGGCCAGACCTGGCTCCTCCTGCCCCTGCTCAGCAGCTCCCTCATGGGTTCCCCAGAGAAGTGTCCTGCCATTGTCTAGGCCGATCTCTGCATACCTGGAGCTCGCCCATCTGTCTCCTGCCCAGACGGGGAGCCCCTGGCGGGTGGGCGGGCAGGAAGCTTCCCCGTCTCAGACCCCGAAAGGCCCTACACCTCCTGGGTGCTCAGCAAACACCACACAACTGGCTCCAGGCTCCGAGAGCACAGGGCCACATGTGGGGAGTGGACAAGGAGGCAGCTTCGTGCTTCCCAGCACAGACCAAACCGGGACTGCTGGCCACAAGCGGGCTGGGAGCTGCAGGGCGCCGTCCACGGGGCTGCCCAAACCCCGGCGAAACCCCCGAACACAGCCCAGCCTCTAGCCACGAGCATCTAGGGAGTGAATCCTGTTTGCATTTCTCTCCAATCGGTCCCTGCATCTCCGAGGGCTCGTTCCGTGGGCACTGCTGGCATGGCGGTGACAATCCCACCCAGCCCCCCAACAAGACCCCTACACACGGCGCGGCGTGAGAGTCTGCGCTGGGCATGGCTGTCCTCCGGGCCGAGGTGGGCTCTACGTCTCCTCCCAGGCTGGTGTCTGGAGTGGGGGCTCTCAGGGTAGTGCTTGCCTGGTGGCCCCCAGACTTGCGGGTGAGTGTCTCCTGCAGCCACCTCCCGCAAACATAAGCTCTTGGGCGAGTGTGCCAGCGGGGCGGAGACCTCCTTCTGGCTTTGCCCCAGCGCGCTTGCGTCCAAAGGCGGTGGGTTCCCCTGGCGATCCCCAGGGAGACCTCCGCTGGGGTTTCCAAGACAAACCGCGAGGGCGTGGCTGCGGAGGACGGGAGCTCCCTGTGCCCGTTAACCCCTGACTCTGCCATATGTGGCCTGGGACAGGGGTCAGCCACCTGGAGTCACTTCCCCTCAGGTTGTCTCTATCAAGATCTTCCCGACTTAACCCCGTAGTTGCCAAGTGCCGGCTGCCACTTAAGGGTCATCTTTCCCTGCAAACGCCCTTCCCCGTCTCCACACAAGGCACCAGGATCCAAGTGACTGGGCAGCCAGAAATAGGTGTCATTCTAGACCCTTCTCCTCCCCTAAACGGCCCCTGAAGTCAATCAGCTCCAAGATCTCTTCGGCCTGAAGATCTCTTCTCCAGTCACCCTCCCTCCCAGGATCCTCCCGAGAGCCCAGGCCCCGCCATCTCTCTCCTGGGTGAGGAAGGCTTCTCGCCAGTCTCTCAGCCTCTGTTCTCACCTTCCTAGTGGTCAGGGAACTTTCTAAAACATACACCCGACCCCGCCACTCCCCTGCTTAAAACACCCCTCGCTGTGCTCATGATGAGCCTTCATGCACCCAAGGAGGAGTCCGTGAATGTCTCCTTGCAGGTGAGCCACCATCCAAACCTCTAACCATGGCCTTCAAGGCCCTGTGAGATCTCCCACCTACCCCTCTGCCTTTAATGCTCAACACCCCACCACCATAATGAACGTCTGGTTCCTCAGAGGTGACAGCCACTCTCTGCCCTCTAAGCCTTTGCACATGCCATTCCCTCTGCTGGAGATACCCTTCCATCTCTCGTCTGATCTCAGCTGAGCTACCACTCTTCCTCCAGGAGGCCTTCCCTGGAGCCTCTAATTAAGCTGGATGCCCGTTCCCCGTTCCCTGTGCTCCCACAGTCCCTGGGACCTCTGTGGTCACTGCACTTATCATGGTGGGGCGCAACTGCCCGTCCTTTTTGTCCTTCAGCTCACGAGGCCAAGGACCGTATCTTGTCCACCATCACATTCCCAGGACCTGGCACCCCATAGACAAACAAGCCTCTAATTCCTACAGTGGTGTCAGGGGAGGCTGCAGAGGTACACGAATCAAACTCAGACCAGGAAGCCAAATACCAGCAGACGGACACGACTTTGCAGGGGGCAACACGACAGCCTCACGCCCGCACAGGACACGGGGGCCTCGGCTGGCTACTGAGCAGTCTCCGCAGTGCGTCCCGCGCAGACACCCCACCCAGCGAAGGCGTGTGAGTGATCATTGCCCAAAAGCAACGATAAAAGGAGGGTGGGAGGACTGACCAATCTATTTTCCCATCTCTGTTCAAACAAGCAAGGAGCAACTTTCTTAGTAGAAAAACTGCATGTGGATTAAAACAAAATAAAGCAAAACTAAAACCACAGTAGCTTCTTAGTACATATAACGAGTGAGCAAACTGCAGAAAACACACCCCGGGAAAGGGCAGGCTTGTCTAGGAAGGCAGATGTGAGATGGGCGAGAGGTTTTGGCACCAGAAAGGTGAGCCTATTGCTCATTTCCCGCTTTAATGAGAAGCGTCCCCAAAGTCTAGGTCAATGAGGTCCCACTGAAACAGCCCAGAGCTGGCAGGCCGGGCACCCGGGTCCTCCGTACAAGGGCTGGATTCCCAGATGCGACTTACTCTCGGTCCGCTCTGGTGAGGAGGAGGCTGGGGGTGGCTTCTGTCGGTCCACAGGGCAGAGGGGCAGCTGCCGAGGCTGAGGGTGGGCTGATTGTCCTGCTGGGGGGCACCTGTTCGGAAGTCTGATTTCGCCCCTTGAACTCTGAGCCAGGGACAGCTAGGGAGGCAGAGGGAGAACAAAGTGAGTTTAGGCAAAGAGGACCCTGAAGCTCAAACTTGGGTGGGGGGAATGATGGGGAAATAAAGAGATGGCGCCCAGGTCAAGGTCACAGATGAAGGAGTTCCTGGGAGTCCAGGGACCCACTACCCTAAAAATCAGAAGATCTGGTTTTTGCTGAAAGTGTGGGGGGGTGAGAAGCTGCTACTAACTAGAACCCCGGCCACCGTTACACCACGTTACACCAACCCGTCCGCGTCAGCAGGACCTTCCCCGCAAGGAGTTAATTGCTCCTGCACTTCCCCCGCCCCCAGACTCTGTCACCATCTCACCAGGCTGCTCTGGGACTGGCCTCCACATCCCCCTGAAATTACGGTCACACCTTCACATGGGTGCATGCTTCTGGGGCAGCATTTGTAACCCTTAACTAATCTCTCACAGGGACAGTGAGCAAAAGTTAAACACCACGAATCTGGCCCATGCATTAAAAATAGTGAACTCCTTGGAATACCACTTGGTACTGTACAAAGGAACTAGCTATTGATAAGTGGAACAATCTGGATAAATTTCCAGAGAATCAACGCTGAGTGAAAAACCTAATCCTGCAAGGTTACGTATATGATTCCATCTACATAACATTCTTGAAATGACAAAACTATCGGGATGGAGAACTGATGAGTGGTTGTGGGCTCGGGAGGGGGGCAGGAGGGAAGGGGTGTGTCTCCCACGGGCAACACGAGGGCCCCTGGGCATGGACGTGTTCTCCATCTTGACTGCAGCAGCGTCCACATCTGGCTGTGACGCCGTACTATAGTTTTACAAGATATCATCACTGGGGGAAACCGAGTCAAGGCACATGGGCTCTATGGGTATTAGTCTTTACACCTGCATGTGAAAATTCACAATTATCTCATTAAAATGAAAAAGTTTAATCAAAAGGGATTTTAAACAAAACTTGAAAAGAGGCAAAGCTAATCTGAGATGTTAGCGGTGAGCACAGCGGCTATGTGGGGAGGGGGCAGTGACTGGCAGGCGCTTGAGTGGGGTTCTGGGGTTCAGATCGTGTTGAGAGTCCTGTGTTCGCTTTGCAAAAATTCATCCATTTAAGTTCTTTTCCGTATGTTTGGTTTCTTTCCATTAAAAGCTCATGTGCATTTTTTAAAGGTAAAAGACTGAATCACATACAGATCGCCTAGATATGGAAATCGTTCATGATACCATGTTCGGTGAAGAAAAGGAGGTTACCAACATCCACATACGGCATGACCCTATTCCTGTCTCAAGTGCAGTCATGCAGCACGGAACATTATCAACACATTGAGAGGTGCGGCCGTAGGCAATCGTGCCGCCGTGTGAATGTCACACAGCGCGCCCACGAGAATCCGGCTGGTGTGGCCCGCTACACACCTAGCCTACGTGGTGTGGCCTGTCGCTCCCGGGCTGCAGACCTGCACAGCACGCTACTGGACTGAACGCTGTGGGCAACTGCAATGGGACAGTAAATATTCATGTATCCAAACATACCTAAATACAGAAAAGGGACAGTAAAAATATGGTATAAAAGATAAAAAATGGTAACCTGTATAGGGTCCTGCGAGTGGAGCTCGCAGGACTGGAAGTTGCTCTGGGTGAGTCAGTGAGTGAGTGGCGAGTGAATGTGAAGGCTAGAATGCTACTGTACACTACTGTACACTTTATAAACACTGGACACATAGGCTAGGCTGCATTTATTTAAAAATTTTTTCTCGGCCGGGCGCTGTGGCTCACGCCTGTAATCCTAGCTCTTGGGAGGCCGAGGCGGGCAGATTGCTCAAGGTCAGGAGTTCAAAACCAGCCTGAGCAAGAGCGAGACCCCGTCTCTACTATAAAAAAAAAAATAAATAAAAAAATAAAAAAAATAAAAATTTTTTCTTTTTTCTTGACTTTAAGTCAATTAAGCTTGACTTATAGTAACTTTTTTTCTTCAGAAACATTTTAATTTTTTTAACCTTTTGTAATAACAGCTTAAAACACAAACCCATTATATAGTTGTACAAAAATACTTTGTAACCTTATTTTATAACCTTATTTTTTCTTTATAACCTTATTTATAAGCTTTTTTCCATTTTTAAACTTTAAAAAAAAAACTTTTTGTTAAAAACTAAGACACAAACACACACATCAGCCTAGACCTACACAGGGTCAGGATCATCAATATCACTGTCTTCCACCTCCACACCTTGTCCCACTAGAAGGTTTTTAGGGGCAGTAACACACACGGAGCTGTCATCTGCTTTAATGACAGTGCCTCCTTCTGGATACCTCCTGAAGGACATGCCCGAGGCTGTTTTACAGTTAACTTTTTAATTTATAAGTAGAAGGAGTACACTGTAACACAGCAATAAAAAAGTATAGTATAGTAAATACATAAACCAGTAACACAGTCAACTGTCATCATTGTCAAGTATTACGTATTAACACATAACTGTATGTGCTATCCTGCACTTTTATGCCCTGGCAGCGCGGTAGGTTTCTTTAAGCCAGCATCATCGTAAACATGTGGGTAATGTGTCGCGCTACGACGGCTACATCACTATCAATAGGGATTTTCAGCTCCGTTAAAATCTTACGAGACCACTGTCGTAAACTTAGTCTGTCATTGCCCACAACGTCGTCATGCGGTGCACAACTGTATATGAAGATAAACCCACATCCGAATCAGCACAGAAAACACCCCACAGAGTCTACACCAAAATGTTATTAGCACTGACAGTTTTTAGCATATTATTTTTCTTTTTTCCCTTTCGTCCACCTTATCTGTAATTTCAAATTTTCCTGCAATGAGCCTTTATAATATTTTATATCTTAAAGGGCCATGCAAGTTTTTCTGTGTGTTTCATCTTTCAATCCATGCAGTCCCGCCACCCCCAGGCTCTGGCCGACCCGCACTCTTCCACTCACCCATGTCGGCCACCAAGGCCTGCTCCAGGCGGAAGCGGGGCGCCCCCTGCTGTAGAGGCCTGCTCTGGCTGGACAGGGGCCTCTGGGTTCGGCTCCTGGGTGCGCTGGGCTCAGCGGCTCTTCTGGGGACCGAAGAACCCCTGGTCTTGGGGTAGGAAGCTCCATCCCGGGGTATAGTTGCAGTGAAGGGCGGGGCTAATGTTCCTGGGGTGCTGGGGGGCATGGAGGGAGGGACACACAGAGAAAGGCCCTCAGGCTGCACGTCAGAGCCCTCCACGCGCTGACCCGATCCCCTGAGCTCCTAGCCTTTGGGATTTTGGGCGCCTGGCAGGACACTATTTCCCAGGATGCACCCACATTATACATCTACTTATTTTATAAACTGCATAGCAATATACCTGCCAAATTATTATCATGCAAAATAATAAAGCTCAATTTATTTTTTAGAATATATAAAGAGAAACAGAATTTCTAATCCCTTCTTTGCACGCACCCTTGGGTTGCCATGTGGGCCTCCCAGGGGGCCTGCACCCGGCTCTGGAGGCCACTGTGTCTACGTGGAGGCTCCACTTCGCCCCTCTTCACCCACGCCTCCTCCTCCCTCTCCCTTCCCTTTCGGTTCCACGCAGCCACCCCGAGTGCCCTTTGTCCTTGTCTACTGTTCAGCTTACACTACCCTCCCTGTAGTTTTCACTCCCTTGCCAATTCACTCGTTCATTTGCTCAACAAATAGCAATTTCCCTGTCTGTTGCCAACTGGCTTGTGAGACTGGCAAGTCACTTCCCCTCTCTGAACCTGTTTTCTCTATCAGTAAGACGGGAACAAGCACCATTGTTGGGGCGTCACAGGCACTTTGACCCCATGCTGTCCCAGGTCTGTGGCACTGACGGGACAATGGTGGGGTCCTGAGATACCTGATGTGGGAGAGCCGGTGCTCTGGGGTCTGGGTAACGGGTGACACTCTGCTGGTTTCTGAGCCCACGAAACCACTGTCTGTCTCCGGAGATGCCATCCAGGGCTCCTGAAAGAGGCGGTGTCCCTGTAAGTCTGGGGAATGTGCCCCAGGCACACTGGGACGCCTTCCCAAATCCTGGTCTGGGCCGGAGAGGCCGACCCAGCTCCCAGCAGCCAGGCCCAAGGGGTGAGGGTCCTCAGGTCCCAGCACGAGAATCTGGCCAACAGCAGGGACTTCAAACCCTGAGACAACCCTGAGCAGGTCCTGCCTCCCTGAGGAAGGGCAGCCACGGCCCTTGGGAGAGCCAGTAGCAGACAAGGATGAGCAAGAGGAGGAGAAAGCCTTATTTCCAGCGTCTCTGGCCTGGGCCTGGGATGCCATGGCCTTATTTGACTGCAGAAATGCTCAGCCCCAATGCATTGGGAAAACAAAGCCCAACACATACGGACAGCTCCTACCCCTGGGTTTAATGCATGTACAAAGAACACAACAGAACGACACGGGCACCTGCCCTCCGTGAGTTCATGGTCTAGGGCAGAGATTCCTGAACACAGGCTCACTAGGAGTCAGAAGTCTGTGTGTGTGCACATGCATATATACATGCATTATTCCATGAGAGGGTCCATAGCACAAGTCACATTTCCACAGTGGTCTGTGACCCTGCAACAGTTTAAGTCACCACTTTAATGGCACAAAGGGCATAGAGTCAAGAACTGCACCCCAGCTGTGAAGAACTGGCTCTGAGAGATACAGGCAACGGGCTACAAGCTGTCAGAGGAGGCACGAGAGCTCTGGCAGAGTGACGGGGCTGGGTGGCACTGGGCATAGGCCTGCATGTTGGTAGGAGAGTGGCTGGCAGGGACGCGGCAGCAGGCATTCCGAGATGGAACGGCACAAGCAAAGGCCCGGAGGCAGAAAGCTCAGCTGACCCGGGGAATGGCCATGCCCCAAAGTGGACACTTACCTCCAGGTGGGGCCTGCCAGCTTGGTGCAGGGACTTCTGCGGAAGGTGCTCAGAAATGCCACTGCCCTCTAGGCTGGTCATGCTGCTCTGGTGGGAAGCTGCGGACTTGCTACCCAGAGGGTGGGCTGGCCTGTCAGGGCCTGGAGGGGCTGCCTCAGTCTGTCTTGGGCCCAGCACGTGCCTGTCTCTGGCCAGGGCCGTCGGCAAGCCTGGTGGCTTCACAGACACCATCTGCTCCACGGTCTCCCTGGGGGGGAGAGAAGAATATCGCCGAGCCCTGCCATGAGCTGGGCAGTCCCGACCTGGGGCTCAGCCCGCCCCAGGAGCCAAGGATCCCGGGGCACAAGCTGGGGAGTCAGACACCCCTGGGTGCCCAACCCGGTTCTGCCACCTTCTAGTGGTGTGACCCGGGGCAAGACACTTCCCCTGTCTGAACCTCACTTTTCTCAACTATAAAATGGGGATGCCAACAAAACCCACCCGATGCACCACAAAGGAAATTTTGGGAACACGAGTGAGCTAAATAAAGCATCGTTCCCAGACTCCAGCGGCTTGTGTACCATCTCCCTATTTCAGCCGTTTCCACAACCTTCCATCGACTTGAAAGACTTTAGGCCACTATTACAAGCAGAAGACCAGCATGTCACGTTACAGATAGAAACTAACCTGAAAATAAGTACGCAAAGCCTGAAAACAGTATTATTATATTCTAATAGGTCCTATTGTCGCTCGGTCATGCGTTCCTCTCTCTCTCCCCCTCTCTCCCTTTCCCAAAGGAAGATGAAGAGAGGCGTTAAAGACACAATAGCACTAACTGAGACTTTCTCCCTGGCGTCATCAGAAGGTCAGAGACTGGAAAGGAGAATAATGTCATTTAATGCCCCTTCTGTCCTCCTGAAGATCACATCCTGCCCCAGATTGTTTCCTGGGCTATCACCCTGTGGGGAGACGGGACGGGCAAGCCATGTCTAGCTGCAGTGCTGTCTGGGCCACTCCGACAATGAGCATCCCGAAATCTTAGGGTGGTCCGGGACACTCTGTAGGGAAGGCTCAGTGACTTACTCGAGCGGGGCACTGTGACTTTTCTCAGCCTGTGTCAGGTGCTGCCTTGGGGGGACCCTGGTGGCCTCTGCTTTCCCTGGAGCTGGAGCTGGTCCATCAACCTCCTCCTCTTCCTCCTCCTCCTCCTCCTCCTCCCCCATCCTCATGGATTCTGGGAGAGACTTCACGCTGAGGTACCTGCAAAAGAACGCACAGAGGGGCGTGAGCCCTGCCCAGCAGGGGCAGCCAGGATCCAGCTGCCAGCCTGGTCTGGGTGCACTCACCGCTCCAGGAGGCCGTGGAAATCCTGCTCCATCTGCAGCTCCTTGTGCCTGAGTGGGGCTGGGAGGTCCCGAGGCCCGTCCTCCACCTCCCTGCTGCCAGAGCTCGCCTCCACGTTCACGTGCAACGGGCAGGTGCCAGCGGCGGCAGCGTCAGGCTGGGGACAGAGAGGTGGAGGGACAGAGACTCAGCAGATACTTAAACACCACTGTTAAGTACTAACCTCATGCCAGGCTTGTGCTGGGTGCTGAAGAGTAACACATATGTCATGCTCACTCACCCCACCACTTCTCTTTTCTTTTCTTTTCTTTTTTCAAGATAGGGTCGTGCTCTGTTACCCAGGCTGGATGGAGTACAGTGGCACAATCATAGCTCACTGCAGCCTCCAACTCTTGGGCTCAAGCGATCCTCCTGCCTCAGCCTCCCAAGTAGCTGGGACTACAGGCATGTATCATCACACTTGACTAATTAAAAAAAATTTTTTTAGAGATGGGGTCTTGCTATGTTGCCCAGGCTGATCTCAAACAACTGGCCTCAAATGCTCCTCCTGACTCGGCCTCCTAAAGTGCCGGGATTACAGGTGTGAGCCACCGCACCCAGCGTCACCACCCTTTTATGCATGTGCAAAATGTCGAGACTGGACCAGGCGATCTTCAATACCGCCTGCCATGAATACAGCACCTCCTACGTGCCAGGTGCCACACTGACAGCACTGCACAGCAATCCCAACAGTAGGTACGGTTATTACAACCCATTCTACAGACAGGTGACTGAGGCCCACATGATTTGCCCAAAGTCACACAGTGAGGGGCAGCGCTGAGATTCGAACCCAGATTTCCTGCCAGCAGCACCTCTCCCGACCCCCTCCAACCCAGCATGGCCACCCCGGCCCCCAAACACCTTCACTGCAAGAGCACGGGGCCCCTCAAGACGATGTGCTCAGGTTCTCCCCTGTCCTCGCATGTGACGGGCCTGGCCGTCTTCCCACCCTCCAGGGCAGAGCGCGGTGTGAGGGTTTCCCCAACCGCGGGGCTGGCAAGACCTCGGCGGTCATGAACACCAGCGCCCGCCCTCTCCAGCTCCCAGCCACCCGGCGTGCCAGGCCCTCTCGACTCCTGCTCCCGTCCTCCAGACGGGTCCCTGCAGCACAGGCGCCCAGGACTTTGGAGACACAGACACCCCGCCGTCGTCAGCTGTGTGGCTACACTACACTCAGTCTGCTGACCTGCAAAGCGGAGGCAGCGATTGTCTCCCAAGGCATTGTACTGTGGGCTGGGGACACTCCCACAAAGCCCCTTCCACAGGTGGCCCCCGCCCAGGCCTCACCCCATCACCCTCAGCGTCACACCCCAGAGCCTGCAGGTCGCCCTTGCCTCCCTTCCCTCTCACGCCACTCCCAGGCCAGTCGAACACAGCTCTGACCCTCTCTCCGGTCCTCCCACTCCTCCCCATCTGCCCCGCACCTCAGCCTCAGACTGGTCTACCCACAGAGCCTCTCACCGCACTCCCTCCTGAAAATCCCAGCACGGTCACACTCACACTGTGACTGCGAGCCCCTCTGTCACGGGGCCCTGCTGCCTCTCCAGCCACATCTCAGGCTATTATTCCTCCTCACTTTCTATACCCTGACCACAGGGCCTTTGCACAGGCTGTTTTCCCTGCTGGCTGGGTTTTCTGCTTCTGGAAATTCCTACTTGCCCTCAGATCTCATTTAAACATTACTGTTTCAACAGGGAAAGTTTCACTGACATCCCCCTCAAACACAATCATGTTACATAGGGGTACCTATTCTCGCAGAACCCCTAATTCTTTTTCAGAGTCCTGATCAAAATTATAATTAAATAACTGTGTAAGTAGTTCAACTATACAGAAAACTGCAGGAAGGTAGAGGCCATCATCCCCGGCTCCCCCGACTCCACCGAGTCCCCACCATGTGGCACGGTCCTGGCATACGGTACATACTGCATAAATAAGTAGTGAAGAAATGAGTTCATGACGGAATGAATGCATGGGGGAACAGCCCGACATGGCTGAGCAGAGAGGTACCTCGGGGTGGAGGGTCCTGACGGCTGGCGTGGGGGCTTGTTCTGGGGAGGCCGGTAGACATGCTGGCTGGGGGGCGGAGGGCACGGCCGGGCTGCCGTCCGGGGCTGGGGCCGACCAGGGCGGCTCAGGCTCTTGCAGGGTCTGGTCCATGTGGTCCTTCAGCTCTTCCAGGCAGATCCCCAGATGGAATATTTCTGCCTCCAGCTCCCTGGAACGCAGAAACATCAGCGCCAGGGGCCCAGGACAGCAGTCGCATCAGGGAGGTCCAGGGGGTCATGTGACAGAGCAGAGGCCCCAGGGGATGCCCGTTTATGGTCCACTTAATGTCACCGTTAGATGATAAGAACTCAAAATAAACAAGATGAAAGAAGGTGGGATTTAGGAGGCCTCAGCCTCAGTCCCCTCTGCCACCCACAGGCTGTGGGACCTCCCATGCCCCTCTGGCCTCAGTTTCCCCAATGTCCAGCAAGGGGTTTCAGCTCTTATCTCCAAGGTGCCTTCTCACTGCAGTGCACCCAAAGGGACATACATCTCAGCTTTCAAGAATTCCACCATTTGGATATGCTGCTAATTGGGACAGGATTTCTCTCTGTTCCCCTTGGGTACAAATTATGAAGACAAATTATGAAGTTGTGCCTCCCTCCTGGAGACAGCGGGAACCCAGGGGTCTGTCCCATCTGTCCTTCTGGGCCTCCCTCCCCAGCACGTACCTGCTGGGATCGAATTTCCCAGGTGGCCCCGTGGAGCTGCTGAGCTGCTGGGCAGGGCGCTGCTCCCGGCAGGCCTTCAGGTACTGCTCCTCTAGGGCCGCGTGGGCAGCCTTCAGCCGCTGGAAACCCTGAAACCGGACCGGGCCGGGAAGGCCCGAGTGCTCAGCACCTGCGGGCCCTGTCGCTGCAGGCACAGCGGGTGAGACAGCCTGCAAGAGGCCATGGAGACGGAGGCTGGAACCTCTGGGGCTGCCTGCCCCGGCCGAGCGCTCTGCCATCACACTGGCACAGGAGAGGCACAGCTTAGAGCCTTGGCACCAGCTCCCGAGAGCACCAGCCCTGCCTGGGTGGCCTTACAGGGACTCCAATGTACCACAACAGTCACATCAAGTATATGGCCCCATAAGGGACTATGTCCCCATAAGGACCTGGCACTTGAGAGACCCTGGATCCTTCGTTCTCGATGTGCAAAACTGTGGGCTTCAGAAAATCAGACACTCTCTCCCCAGATCCTAAGATGATGCTGCCATCACATCACACAATCGAGAGCCACGACTAGGGTTTGCATGGCACTGAAGCTCTATGCTAAGCACTTTGCACTTATTCACTTAATCTTCAATGTAACCATAATGAGAGGGGTAAGTTATCATCCATTTAAAAAGGATGAAACTGAGGCCCAGAGGGGTTATTTAAGTTGGCGAAGGTCACAGAGTGAGCAAGCGAGTTGTAGAGCCAAGATGTGAACCCAGGTCTGCTGGCCCCAGAGCTCCTGGTCCTAACACTTCCGCCAGGCGCCCACAGCAAACACAATCCCAGGCAAGACGTGGCCCAAACCCAGGAGGTGGCACCATCACCCCTGTATTACTGTCATCTCCAACCCACTCAGCTCTGAGGACAGACAGAGGAGGCCAAGGACAACCGAGAATCCAGCCCCTGGCCACACCTGATCTTCCGACCGCTCTCCACCTCCCTGAATATGGGAGAAGTAGGACCGAGAGGAAGAAACAGGATGGTTTTCATTGCCGCAGTCCTTGATCATCCACTTGATGATATACGGTGCAGGTCACACATTTTGTAATTGGAAAATGGAAAAAATTCCATTGGAATTTGGAAAAATTGGAAAAAAATTCCATTAGAATTTGGAAAAATTGGGGAAAAAAATTGGAAAAAATTCCATAATCACATAGGAAAATACTCGTGCCATGATGCGTCTGTACAAACTAGGCTGCTGCCTTCGCCCCTGCAGACCGGTCCTCAGCTCCAAGCTCGGTGGGCTCCCTGCCTGCTGGCTGCCCAGGGGGAGGGGGCTGGAGAGCTGGGGGTGGGAACAGCTCCCTGTGGTCGCTACTCCCCAGGGACGTGGCCTTAGTGAACCTCCGTGCCGCCACACCTGTGCGGACCGTCCCCTCCTTTGAGCCCGACACTCCAGCCTTGAGAATTCACCTGCTGCATACCGGGCCCCCGGCTGATGCAGCAGGAATCTAAATCACATATACGACTTGGCTCGAGTTGCCTACGACTCCACAGTCCAAAGGAAATAGGCCAGTAAGAGTTCTATTGAGGGTCTCTTCACCCTTTTTTACCATAGTATCCAAACTTTTGGCAATTACTTTTTATAATTAAAAAAGAGAGAGAGACTTACAGAAAGGAAAGGGAAGCAGTGCAGGACAGTGACGGTGACCCTGGACTTGGGAGGCAGACAGACCTGGCTCCAGGCTCAGCTGCCTACTAGCTGGGTGGCCTTCGAGTCCCCTCTCTGGGCTTTGGTTCCATCCTGGTCGCACAGGGGTAACTGGACTGGGTAACAGGGGTAACAGGACTGTAACTGCCTCACCAGGTTTTGATGACGATAAAATAACGTATGCTAAGAGTTGAACACAGTGCCCGGCACGCCACCGTCACTGCTTCATAAGCGGTAACTACTGTGACATAATGGCTATTATGACGGGACGCTAAGCCAGAGCTGTCTGCCCTAAAAGGAGACACTGTGTCCGGGACTGTCTGGTCTGTCTCGCCGCTCATGGGCAGCTCCTGAATCGGATGGTACCTTGAGCTGGTCCCGGGCCGAGAGCCGTCCTGCCCGCAACAGCCGTTCAAAGGACTCCACCTGGGCACGGGGGTGGGAAGGAAACGTGCTCTGTTACTAGCGTCCTCCAGACCCCCACACCCCACCACATTCGCGCTGTGTAGGAGGAGCAGGGTCTGGCCGCAGGATGTGGGCTTCCTGCCAAGCACGGAGAGGCGGGTGCTGGAAACAGAAACTCTACCACCGGCCTCACCCATGGCAGCCTTGGGAAAAATCAAGGTGGAACCTACAGGAATTTATCGACAACAAAACACACTCACTCAAGTGCGTGAAGGCCTATGAGCCAGGATGTTTACCGCAGCGTGGATGGAGGGCAGGGGCAACTGGAAATAGCCTAGATGCCTATCCATGGAATAGTATGCGGCCAGCAAAAAGATGAAGGCACACGTGTATGTTCTGAGGTATAAATGCCTCTCAGATCTGTTTTTCAGTGTCAAATCAAGGTACAGAGCAATGTTTATTATGTTACCATCTGCATAAAATATACAGAGAATAAAAAAGGAAAATCTATGCTTATATATGACAAACTATCTCTAGAAAGATTCAAGAAACTAAAACATTACTTGCATTGGGGGAGGAGAACCGAGTAGCCGATAGGAATGGGAAGGAGATTTCTTACTATATGTTCCTTGGATCCTTTGAACAATGTAAATTCATTGTCTATCCAAAAATACATATCCAAATGTAGGATAGTAAAAAAAATCAAGGTACAGTATAGTTTACATACTTATGCAACCATTTCTACAAATGCATGTGTGTGCACTGAACATTTTTGCATGGGTGGGAGAAAAAGACATTTTTCGCTGAATATGCCCTTTGCACTGTGTGGCAGTCTTTACCATGTGCATCTATTACCTTTCCAAAAAATGTTTTTAATTAGAAAAAAAGAGAAAGTGATGATTTGGGTTCATTTTTATAAAAGCTTTAGATCAGTGTTGAAGCATAATATAGAAATTTACATAATTATAATACATAAAATAGAAATGTAGTATGAACTACACATGTAATTTATAATTTTCTGATAGCCACATTCAAAGTGTAAAAAGAAACAAGTGAAATTAATTTTAATAATATATTTTATTTAATACCAAATTTCATTTCAACATGTAATAATATAAAAAATTATTAGGGAGATACACTCTTTTCACACTGAGTCTTTGAAATCTGGCATGTGTTTTACACTCATAGGACGTTTCAGTTTGGAATGGCCCATGTCAAGTTCTCGATGGCCACATATGGCCGGTGGCTCCCATATCGGACGGCCCCGCTCTGCATCTTTAGGGCTCAGCTGGTACCCCAGCTCCTGCTGCATGTGATGACTTGGCTTTGCTTTATTTTATGGACAAAGAGGACAATATCTCTCCAGTTACAGGACCATGAACAGTGGAGATAGAAAGGAATAAAGTACCTGTGCATGCTACGCCAACGTGGATGAGCCTTGAAAACACCACGGTAAGTTTCAGCAGAAAAGGGCAAATACCATATGAATCTATTTATATGAAATGCCCAGAAAAGGCAAGCCCAAAGGGACAGAAAGCAGCTGAACAGCTGCCTGAGGCTGGGGGAGGGGGAATGGGGAGTGATTGCTTAATAGACATGGAGTTTCTTATGGAAATGTTCTAAAAACTGATAGTGGTGATGGCTGCATGAACTGTGAATATACTAAAAACCACTCAAGTGTATACTTTAAATAAGTGGATTGTATGATATATGAACTATCCTTCAATAAAGCTGTTAAAGAAAAGAATGGTGGTGTTTCTCTGAAGGAATTTGTTTTACGGATGTGGTGGTACATGCAACTATTGCATTTCCCTCTTTGCATCAGCAACTAGGAAGCTCAAAGCTAAACGTGTCACTTGGTGAAGAGCTCAGGGTCCAACAGCACATTTTGTTTACTTCACCCCAAGTTAATTAATTTTTTTCTGCCCTTACTTCCCCTCTGCTTTAGTTTCCTCACTTCCGTTTTCAGAATGCAGTTAAAATGTATGTATTTTCATAAGCCACTTTAAAGCACTTTTGGAATAAAGCGAAATGTATAGTTATAAATAGGCCTGCAAACACTTCATGGTTACTTGGACTGTTTGATGAAAATATAAAGGCCCTTTGAGAGGTGACTGAGAACTGATTTCTCTAATGAAATGAAGAAACTGGTGTGATTTATCCTGGAGGCAGAGTGGAGGGTCTGCTCCCCTTCCAGAATCCTGAAAGAGCTGAGGGTCTCCTGGGAGACCATCTCAAGCACAACTGGAGGGATTCTGGTGTGATGCCGAAAGGGGGAGTTAAGCCTAGTACTGGAAGACAAGGAGGAGGCTGGGGCGTGTGGCCTCTAAAATCAGGGGAGGCTCCTGATTTCGAGACAGCCAAGCTGACTGGGTGCAGAGGCAGGGGCACGACAAGTGAGTGTCCCAGACAGCCGCCGCCCAGGCAGGCAGAGGCTCTGCTCTCTCCAGGGGGGTTAAGTCTCTCGGAGCAAAGCCGGGATTCCACTCACCTTGGCCAGGAACCGGCTGGCCTGTGAGGCCAGCACCTGGCCCCGTCCCGCCGAGGGCTGGTCCTTGGCATTGCCTTGGTGCTCCGAGAGCCACCCTGGGGCGGGCACGCAGGTGGGCGAGGAGGGGCTCAGGTCTCCTCGAGCCGCTGGCCACCCTGGAATACACAACCGCTGAAACCTGGGTCGAGAACAGTCCCTCCAGGGGCTGACAGACAGGCTGAACCTCAACATCACCACCTCCGTCACCGAGGCAGCTCGGCCATCCCGTGTGCCGCCTCAACTGGCAGAGGAAGGGCAGAGCGCCGCCCGCCACTACAGCGGGGGGCGCGGTCTCGTTCTGCCCCGGATCACACAGCTGGAAGGAGCAGAGCCATGCCAGGCCTCGGCTTCCCAGCCACCAGCGTGTGCTCTGACCCAGGGTCATGTGGGTTCAGGGCCCGGCCCTCCCCCCTTGCCCTTCATAGCTGTGTGACCTTCGGCATGTCCTCGCCTCTCTGAGCCTTGGTCTCCTTAACTGCCGTTGGGTAACGACAGTGCGCCTCACCAGGGGGACGTGGGATGAACCGAGATATCATGTGCCAAGGCTTAGTACGGGGCCTGGCCCAGTACGGCCTCCCCAAGGACAAAGTTCCCTGTTACGCAAAGTCACCGGCACGCCAAGTGACAGAGCCGGGGCTTCCCCCACTGGACACTTTCCACAGCTCTGTTTGGCCCTTTCCAGTCGCAGGGCCCAGAGCGGGGCCCTGCCTCCCTCCGTCCCCTGGCCTGAAGCCGGAGCCATCCTCAGACCAGCCAAGGTCCCCCCGAAGCAGGATCGCGGGCAGAACAGCCCCAGGCACACTCCTCCCCGGACTCACCTGAGGCCTCGGAGGCCTGGGGGTCCTCGGCGGGGCCCGGCCACCGCTGCGCTGAGCGGGGCTGCGGGATGGTGAAGGACAAGACCTGGGTCCCCTGGGGCACCGTCCCCGAGTGGAAGCTGCGGCTGGGCCGGGGTGGGTCCGAGTACAGGGTCACCTGAGGAAGAGGAGGGCACCCGCAGGGCTTCAGGTGGGGCCGACCTGCCGAAGGCCTCATCTTCATCCAGCAAACCTGCCCACAGTAACAAACGTGCCCTGCCAGGGGAGCCCTGGAGCGGCCACACCCTGGCTGGAGGGCTCACTCGCTCTTTCAGTTCCCCTGACAACGGGGCAGGCCCGCCGTCCCCACGGAGACGCAGAGAGGTTAAGTCATTTGCTCAAAATCTCCAGCTGACGAGTCCTTGGACCAGGATTATTATGACACTGTTCTACATAACCCCAAAGCCAATGGTTTTCCACCACCGACAATAATTTTTATTAATAATGCTTGTTATAATTATAATATTATAATCAACACACTGTATAATATAGAACATAATCATCTCTTAATAACAAACATAAATATCTCCAATAACAACTATTATTATATTGATAAGGGTGGCAGCTAATGGCTGTCTGAATGAATGAGTGAACCGTCACGTGACCAAACGGATCTGCACTGGCAGCAGAGCTCCATCGAGTGAGGGTGGATTTAATAAGGCAACAGCCCAGTGTGCGAGAGAGAAGTCTGGAGTCAGGCAGGTGGCCCGGGAAGACCTTCTGAAGCTCAAACACAGAGGGACGCCACGTGCCATACAGCGGTTCAGAGCAGAGTTTGGAGAACCTTGGTCTGTTTTTGTAAATAGGGTTTTACTGAACACGGCCGTGCCCGTTTGTTTATGTATGAGCTAGAGCTGCTTTCGCACTCCAGCAGGGGAGCTGAGCAGTTGCAACAGACTGTCTGGTCCACAGGGCTGAAAATATTCACAATCTGGCCCTTTACAGAGAAAGTTTGCCAACTCCAGCTTAGCTGTGGGCTCCGTGGTCAGAGCCCAGGCTCACGTTCATGTTCAGGCTCCACCACTGCACACCTCTGAGTCCTGCTTGACTCAATTAACCTCTCTGTGCACAAAGTAAGCACTCAATAAACAGCAGCCACCACCCTTACGGTCATCACCATCCTCACCACCACTGTCCTCACCATCACCATCCTCACCACCACCATCCTCACCATCACCGTACTCACCACCACCATCCTCACCACCACCGTCCTCACCACCACCATCACCATCCTCACCACCACTGTACTCACCACCACCATCCTCACCATCACCATCCTCACCATCACCGTACTCACCACCACCATCCTCACCACCACCGTCCTCACCACCACCATCACCATCCTCACCACCACTGTACTCACCACCACCATCCTCACCACCACCGTCCTCACCGCCACCTTCCTCACCGCCACCATCCTCACCATCACCGTCCTCACCACCACCATCACCATCCTCACCGCCACCGTCCTCACCACCACCGTCCTCACCACCACCATCACCATCCTCACCATCACTGTACTCACCATCACCATCCTCACCGCCACCATACTCACCGCCACCGTCCTCACCACCACCATCACCATCCTCACCATCACCGTCCTCACCACCACCGTCCTCACCACCACCGTCCTCACCATCACCGTCCTCACCATCACCATCCTCACCATCACCATCCTCACCATCACCATCCTCACCATCACCATCCTCACCATCACCATCCTCACCATCACCGTCCTCACCATCACCATCACCATCCTCACTGTCACCGTCACCATCACCACCACCATCCTCACCATCACCATCCTCACTGTCACCATCACCATCCTCACCATCACCATCCTCACTGTCACCATCACCATCCTCACTGTCACCATCACCATCCTCACCATCACCATCCTCACCGTCACCATCCTCACTGTCACCATCACCTCCTCACCACCACCATCCTTACTGTCACCATCACCATCACCACCACCATCACCATCCTCACTGTCACCGTCACCATCACCACCACCATCCTCACCACCACCATCACCATCCTCACCACCACCATCCTCACTGTCACCGTCACCATCCTCACCGTCACCATCCTCACTGTCACCATCACCTCCTCACCACCACCATCCTCACTGTCACCGCCACCATCCTCACCATCACCATCACCATCCTCACCATCACCATCCTCACCACCACCATTCTCACCATCACCATCACCATCACCATCCTCACCGCCACCATCCTCACCGTCACCATCACCATCCTCACATAGGCACGGAGGCAGTCCGTGGAAAAACTGCACTCCGCCTCCGTGGCTCCTGCTCATCGTGATGGCAGGTGGGTTAACCTTAACTGCCCGCTGCTGCCAAGGTCGGGGGTGGGCCGAGTGGGTGGCCCTGGTGGCGGGGGCTCCCTGCCTAAGCGGCTCTCCAGGTCCTGGCTGCGGCCGAGAAATGGACTCCACGTGTGGCTGGGCCCTGCTGCCTCCCCCTCTCTCAGGCCCAGCCTCCCTAGATGAAAACAAGGCTGGATTTTCCTAATCCCCTCTCCATCTGCTCAGAGCCGCCTGTGGGGGCCTGCCATCAGCACCCCTCCTCCTGAGGTGACCCCAATCCCAGGGGAGGCCCAGCCCTCTGACTCGCTTCCCGCCCGGGGAGTGCAGGGAGCGGCAGCTCTGAGCCGGGGGCCGGGACGCCGGGAGGCCCCTTTGTTTGGGCAGCCAGGAGGAGCTGAAGCAGAGAAGCCGCAGGCCCGTGCAGAAGCCACGAGAAGCGGGCAGGAGGGGTGCGTGGGTGGCACCTGCCGGCTGCTCAGGCCTGTCCCTCCCAGGACCTGTCCCCCGGACACAGCTGGACCCACCCCGGAAACCTAGGGTGCCCCTTTTAAGCCCAGGTGGCCCTCGGTGCGCCCCGAGACTGCATTAGCCCCTCGCGGCATGCTGTGAAGCTCAGTCGTGATTCTGTGAGGGTGGACCGGCAGTTTGGGAAAGATCGGGTTAAACGAATGAATATTCTCTGCACAGATGGATTTCTCACCAGCCTTTAAAATGCTAATGGGCTTTGTGAATGGGGCAGGAGGGGGGGGTGGAGAGCAGGAGTGTGTCCCCCTCCTCTGGGCACAGGGACCGCCCTCCCCCAACCCCACCGGGGGCTTCTGGACCAACCAGTGGCCATCAGAACACACCAGAAAAGGTGGCTTTACGTTATGCCCCCAATCCTTTCTGGGGTAACTTCCAGTCACCTCAGCTCTTCCAGATGTCCCTGCAGCTGGCATGGGGGGAGGGGACAGGGGAGGTGCCAACATGGCAGCAAATGCAGTGAGATCACCAAACACTCTGGCCAGAGGCCAGTGTGCAGGACAGAGTCCACCAGTGACTGCTGGCCAGTACTGGCTCCCTGCCCCCACCCAGGCCCCAGGTCCACTGGCGTTCCCAGGCCAGGCCTTGGGACTCCCTGGTCAGCCTCCCTCACTGCAGACCCTACGGCTATTCAGTCTATGCCTGTGGTGTAAACAGTGGGCTTCAGAGCCAGGTTCAAACCTCTGCTCTGGCACCTACGTGCTGAGTGACCTTGGGTCAGTTACTTACCCTCTCTGTGCCTCAACTTCCCCAACGTCAAATTATTAATACTTAGGACAGCTTATTACCATCTTATGACTAAAACCACCATTAATCGGCCTCGTCCCTATGCCTCTCCCACGCCCCAGGGCCAGGACCTGGGCCAGGAGAAATGGGGAGTGGGGGGCGGGTGTGGCACCGGGGGTCAGGCAGATGACCCAGGCAAGGGGAAAGAACACCTGCTCTGGGGTCAGGCAGATGTGGGTTTAAGTCCCAACTCCGCCTCTCGCACCAGCTTGGGATGTGAAGCAATGATATGAGAAACTGGCTGAGCCTGGGTTTCCGCGTGTGGAGAGGCTCAAATGAGAAGACCCTTCGCCTGGGGGCTGGCACCTTTGGCCGCCCGGCGATGTCAGTCTCCTTTGTGCGTCCCCAGACATTGCTGCCATTCGCCCGCTGGGCCTGGCCCGAGTGTCCAGGACAACGTCCCCAGCCTGGCCACTTCCTGGGTGGGTCCAGCCCCCACACGGGCTCTGAGCAGAGCCAAGGGGCTCAGAAGTCCTGGAGGCCACTGCCCAGCTGCAGGGCGGGGACGGGTGGGGACGCCTCTGTGCAATGGCTCCCTGAGGCATGCTCTGAGCGGGGAGCTGTCCTGGGGTCTCCCAAGCCTTGGGGTAGAGAGCGCAGAGCCCTGGATGGAGTAAGGAGGTCCAGCTGCTGCAGTCCCACCTCCCCTCCAGCCCTGTGGGACTCAGGCGAGTCCCCTCGTGGCTGTGGGGCTGTGTCCTCTGCACCCTGGGACGGCAAGACTGTCCTACCCTGCTCCCCAGGCAGCCGTGAGATTGGGGGCGAGGGCAGAGTCCAGCTGAGCCCAACCCCTGGGCTCAACACCCCCCCCCCCCGTGAGGACAGCCCTCAGGCCAGCAGTCCTTTTTCCAGAAAGAGGGAGGGAACTGGTCCTGAACCACCCACCTTCTCTCCTGGGACGCACACACAAGTGTGCACACATGCAAACACACGCAAACACACACATACACATGTGTGCACACACACACACACACGAGCCAGGGGTCTGGGCTGCCGGCCAGGCCAGGGTGCCCGCACATGGGGAGGGCCCTGAGTCCTAGTGGGTCAGGGAGGCACCATGAGAGGAGGTGCCACAGCTGCCCCGCCCCCCCGTCCTCCCTGCCCGTGGCTGTCACTGTCCCTGGCATACGACAGGCACTCAGTAAACACCTTGCAATAGTAATATTCCCTAACTCTCACGAAGCGCCTGCCACGTGCCAGGTATACCGACTGGCACCTGTAAACGCGTGCAGGAGGAGGGCAGGGAAGGAGGGAGGGCCAGGACGCTCCCGGCCTCCACCCCTGCCCACCCTGTGACCTTTGGCAGCCTCTACCCCAAGTGGGGCCCCGGGTTCCCAGACTAAAATGGGGAAGCTGAAGGGTTTGGGCCTGATGGCCAGTTCCTTTCTCCTCGGACCTTCTAGGAGTCTGTGGCCATGAGAATGTGGCTTCCCCAGACAGGACGACCCACCAGGCCCCTCTGTCCCCTCCCAACTCCCTGGCCCTGGCATCCTCGGGTCTGGATCAGCGGCTGAGAGAGCTGGAAAGAGCCTCGCTGGCACCCAGGAGGGAGGGCGGATTAGCCCCCTTTTACAGACGTGGCCAGTGAGGCCAGGGGAGTGGCTCCACTGCGCTGGGGAATGGGTGGGGGACTCTGTTCTAGAACAGGCCCTTCCGTTTCTCACCTGCCTCCACCCATGCGCCCCAGAAGCACCTTCTAGAGCTGAGAGAAGCAGCTGTGGCGGGGGAGGGGCCCTGGAGCATTAAGGGGTGCAGGCGGGGTGGGGTGTCTGCCTCTCTGTGCCTCAGTTCCCACCCCCTCCTCCACTGCAGCCTGGTGGGGCAAGGGGGGTGGGGAGAAGCAGGAAGCCATGAGGGGCCACCGCAGGCCCACTTCCTCCCTCACCCCAGAAAAGAGGAAGGTCCCAAGTGCAGAATTCACAGCCTCCTCCCAAGACGGCGTGGGGGCTGGGCAGCGCGGCGGGGGCTCCCTGCGGTGCGGCGTGCACCCTTCATGCTCCCCTGCCTCACGCTGGCAATCAGGAGAGGCAGTGGGCACGGAGAAAGGCAGAGGTGTGATCTGGGAAGAATCACGCCAGAAAATGAGCACCAGGGCTTGCAGAAGTGCAGTGCCACTTCTGGAGGCTCAGAGAGCCCAAGTGACGCCTTTAAGGTGACACAGCTGGCTGGGGATGAGCCCAGGGGATCTTACTCCAGAGCCCAGCTAGAAGCAGAGAACTTCTGGGGAAACTCCTGAGCACTCTGGGTCCCATCATTCCAGGACATCAAAGCCCATCAAGCGGTAAAGGACACAGCCCAGGGAGGCGGGGGTTGCTGCCCAAGGTCACAGAGGGAACTTGGGGAAGAAGGAGGACTGGGGTTCCACCATCTCCAGGGCCCCGACGGATGCAGGAGGCAGTGGCTGTTCTCTAGGACTACAGGAAAGTGTCATCTCCTGGGGGGACCCAGCCCCACGCCTCCAGCCCACCCCAGCCTGGTACCTTGGCCCCCAGGCGCAGCTGGTCGATGGTGTTCTCGGCCTCCGCGTACTTGGTGAGGAGCCGGTGGTAGTCTTCCTGCAGGAGAGGGAGAGCAACGCTGTCACACCCGGGCACACGACCTCCTTGCTGCGAGACCCAGGCAGGCAACACCCCTCCGTGGGGGCTTGTGGCTTCCTCGGAGTGCACGTGTTTGGTGGTGGGAGCTGAGCAGAGCAGTCTCCAGGCTCGCATGCAAGCAGACCTCCACGCCCAAAATCTGCAGCGTCAGAGGCAGCGGGACAAGTCACCTGTCCCCCTGACGAGTCTGGAATTTGGGCCTCCAGCTGGTTTACTCTGCATGACCCCTTCACGCAGGGCCACCGCTTTACTCGTCCAAATCCCCTGCCCGCCTGCCGGCTCTGCGGGGTGAGACCCGTGCCCGTCCTCCCCACGGCTCCACTGCCAGTGCCTAAGTAGTATGTGCTCAACAAGTATTTTCTAATGGCTGATGGAGTGAACCACGCGGGCGTCCCACCGTAGAAAAAGAGAAGCCTCGAAAATCCCAGTTCCACCTGCTCAGAGTCCCTTGCCTTAAACACACCCAAAGAGCTTCAGCAAAAGAAGTCATTACAGAGAAACAGCAAGGGCAAATGTCACTGGTCACCTCTGAAAGATGGGAGGGAGCTGACTCACTGTTCTGAAACGAGGACAGAACTGAGCACCTCTCCCGTCTTTCCTGTACAGGCGAGAACTCGGTCATCAGACGGCTGGTGAGGGAAATTTTCACTTCTTAAATTGCTAGCCATGCATGCGGAAGGAGCGGCCTGTATTAGAACGCTGCCATCTTGTCACCCCAAGTGAAGGAAAGACAGGGTTTAGGCAATGACCACGGGGGGGGGGGGGGGGAACTGCTCACATCCCAAATGTGGCCCCTGAAGGCAGCACACAGGCCACCCATGGCATGCTCCCGCCAAACCTCGTGTCCCCAGGGAGCTCGCAGTCTAGAGGGGAAACAGTCTGTAAACAGACGCTTCCAATCTGAAAAAGGCCCTAAACCTACCGACATCCAGGACAGAGAGAGGGCGACGGGACGCATGAAGAGCCAGCACAGCGCATGTCGGCCAAGTGCAGAACGTGGGCAACTGTGCAGGGCAGACTGATTCTCTCAACAACTAAAGTGCAAGGAAGAAGTAAGAGACAGAACGGACGGAGTAGAAGAGATTCGAAAAAAGAAATGCAAACAAAACGAAAATGAAAACAAAAAGGGAGCAGAGACTTGCAAGGCACATGGGCCGTGTGTAGTGCAAGAGCCGTGCTCGGATTCTGGTTCGAGCAGACCCGAGCGAGCAAGCCGTTTATGAGACACAGAGGGTCTGAACGCTGGCTCGATAGTGATGGCATCAAGGACTGGCATTGACATTCAGGTACGATAATGGTATCGTGCTTGTGTTTCAGATAAGGTCTTTATCATTAGACACGCACACACTAAAGTGTTTTCGGCAAAATCATCAGATGCCTGAAATCTTGCTTTGGAATAACCCAGTGGGGGTGAGCAGGGTAAGTGGGGGCCGTAGATAAGGAATGCCATCAGGAGCCGCTAACTGTGGGTGCTGGGTACACAGGAGTTCATTGTACTATTTTTCTCTTGCATATGTTTGAATTTTTTCATAGCAAAAGCTGAAAACAAACAGATCATCCTTGAAACACGAGTTCGACAGTGGGCCTGGGTCTGTCCCATGGCTCCGGTACCTCCCCCTCTCCCAGCAGAAGGCTCCAGGGTCACCCCATGGCCTCCCCCACTCATCCAACCTGCATCCCAGGCCAACAGGTGCCTTGGTGACAGACACACCCCGCTTACCTGGAGCTGATGGACCAGCTCAGTGGCCTGTTCAGGCGTCTGAAACTCTTGGGGTACCCTGGTGCCAGCGTGGGCAGCAGGCGTGTCCCTCTGCAGGGATGCTTCTCCGCTGCTCAACAGCACCTCCTGCACAATCTCGGCTGGTGACTTGAAGATGAGGGGCCTGGCAGGGCCCTGAGGCTGCCCGTTGTGGCTCCGGGACTTGGGGGGGCGGTAGCTTTCATCTTTGGGGAACCTCACCCGGGGCCCCACCTTGGAGAAATCAGGGAGTGGGTAGTTCAGCCGACCCCGGCCGTACTTGGAGGCATCAGAAGAGGAGCGGCCAGCCAGAGTGGCCCCCTGTGTGAGCGGTGGCCTGCCCTGCTGAACTGGCCTAGGCCCGGGATTCAAGGGGCTGGTGGAGCCAGTGAATCGGGAAGGGGGTGGCTTAGGTGACGTCTTTGTCTGTTTCCAGGTTTGGTCCTCGGGCTGAGGGCAGGAGAGGCTGGCGGTTCCTTTCCTCCATCTATCAGTGGGATCCCGGGGGTTCTGGGCTGGGGGTGTTAAGGGGTCCTGGAATTCTGTGGGGGTTGCCCAAGCAACACAGCCTGCAGTTCTGTCGTCTGGGTTGAGGAGGTGGTGGCCGGCGCCCTGTGGCAAGGTTTCTGCCAGGGCACTGGGCTGGGGGACGTCGGTCTCTCCTTCCGAGGTGGAGTCCAGGCTGTCACTAGCGTGGCCGAGGCTCACAGTCCCACTGCTCCAGGACCTTGATGAGCTGAGTTCAACGACCGGGTTGACCTCAGAATGTTCTGAAGGTTTGTCTCCACTGGCCTGGTTACTGGAGGTCACCCAGCCTCTGGCCTGCCCCTGCCCCAGGACCACAGGGCTGGTGTTCCCATTGTGCTCCGAGCTGTCACCAGCCTCACAGCCCATCTCTGGGGAGCTCCCTCCAGCGTCCTCAACCTCAGGACTTCCGAGGACCCCATCTCGCTCCTCTTCAGTCATGTCTAAGTGCTGCTCCTGCTGGGGGAGCCAGCTGAGAAGCAAGCTGGAACCTTCTGGGCTGTCCACATCTTCTGCTTCAATCTCTGGAAAGAGAGGTCCTCACTGCTTAGCACACGCCAGGTCTCCACACACCGTGCAATGTCACCCCAAGTCACTTCAGCTCTCTGGCTTTCATCTGCTCATCATGTGGGATTGTAGGAATCCCAGTGAGCCCCCCATACACCCAAGTGCTTGTGTGACACCCCCTCTGGCTGCCTCAGAGGTCCTTCACACTCAAACCCCAAACTCGGGGGTCCCTCCGGTGTGTCTCAGCTCAGCAGAAGCTGCAAGAGCCAGAAGTCTGGATGGCATCTTTGCCATCTCTCTCCTGCTAACCCCTCCCCCAACCCAATCTGTCAGCTGCTCCTGCCGCGTTGCCCCCTACAGAGCTTACAAGCTCATTCACTCCTCTGAAGCCCACCACCGCCACCACCTGTGCCCACACCGTGTCCTCTCCCGCCTGGACCGCTGCGGCAGCCCCCGCATCGTCTCCTTGGTCCTTTACTATGTTCCTACGGTCCCTGCCACTCTGGCCCCATCAGCTCTCCTGATCCATCTCCCTCCACAGCCCCCTTGGGTGTCCCTGCTGCTCCAGGGACATACACCTGGGGAGGCCAGGCTGCCACCAGGGTGGGTGAGGTTCATGGTCCTACTGCTCCAGGACCACCCCGGGGACTGTGACTGTGCTCCCTCCCCTGCCGGGAGCTCTCTCCCTCCCTTGCCTAGTTGACTCCTATCTGTCCTCCAGGAATCAGCTCAACCTCTCCCCCATCAGGGAAGTCTTAGGTCCTTCTGACTTTGGTCAAATTCTCCCTTTTATAGGCTCTCATATGACAGGCTACCCCTAATTTGTACTTATCACAGTGGCAGTGACCCACTTATTCACGTGATTATTTCATTCATATTTGTCTCCTCCCCTATGCTGCAAGTTCCATAAGGGCAGGGACACTCTCTGTCTTTGTTCGCTGTTGCATTTGCAGAGTTGGTACCCAACATTATTTGTTGACTGAACAGAAAGAAGGAAAGAAGAGAGGGAATGAGGGAGGAATATAAGCTATGTAAAGCTCCCAGGAAATGCATAGTTGTTGTAATTATTATATAGCAGGCACTCAAGAAACATTCATCCATCACCCACCCATCCATCCAACCATCCTTCCTTTCAATCACCCATCACCTACCCACCCACTCACCTGCCCGTCATCCTCCCATCCATCCATCCATCCATCCATCCATCCATCCATCCATCCAGCTATCCATCATCCATGCAGTAAATGTTTATTGAGCACCTGCTCTCTTCTAAGTCCCTGTGTTGGCCTTTGGGACAGATCAAAAGTTTGATGAGACACAGTGGAGGTACCACCAAGCATGGACTTTGCCCAGGCACCTTTGTCATAACCCTTGCATCACTCTCTGCTCCTTGGTGCCCCTTCTCCTACCCCTGGCATCTCCACATCCCTTAACCACTTAGGTCATTCTTATTTACAGCACACATATGAAACCTAGAGAGGTTAAGTAACTTGCCAGAAATCACACAGTGGTTCAGAGCAGTCCTGGATCTTCAAACCCAGGCCCCAGCCATACAGGTGAGTTTGCTTCTGCCCCTGGGGTAAAGAGCATGGGCTCTGGAGCCAGGGAGCCCTGGGCTCGATCCTGGCTCCTCTGACCCCTCACTGGGGCTGTGGGCGAGTGGCTGGCCTCTTTGGCAGTCCTTATTCTAACCTGAGGCTGGACCCTCCCACCTGGCTGAGGGTGGTGGTGGGAGGAAAGGAGGGAGGGCTGGGCCCAGCCCTGTGCCTGGCACACAGTAAGGGGTTACATCATAGCAGGGCATTACCACATGACCCCAGGAAGAGATGCCTCAGTCCTGTCAACCCGGTGCTTCTCGGTCACCACTCCCTGGTGGAGAGCACAGACACGGCTCTGGGCGGGCCATGGTGGGCACACCCCGCTGTGGGCAGATCAGGCATGTGAAACTGTAGGGGACAGAACCCGCCACCAGCTGCTGGCTCCTCCACCCTCCACGTAGGGCCTGCAAGATCCATAGGATCCCAAAACTGGGGCAATCAAAGAACAATAGCTACCACGTATCAAGATTTTACTATTCTCAACCATATTATTGCTCCCATTTCACAGGTGAGGAAACCAAGATTCAGATAGAAGGAACTTGCCAGGCAAAACTAGGAATTTAGGCTGGGGGCGGTGGCTCACGCCTGTAATCCTAGCACTCTGGGAGGCCGAGGCAGGTGGGTCACTCAAGGTCAGGAGTTTGAAACCAGCCTGAGCAAGAGTGAGACCACATCTCTACTAAAAATAGAAAGAAATTAATTGGCCAACTAAAAATATATAGAAAAATTAGCCAGGCATGATGGCGCATACCCGTAGTCCCAGCTACTTGGGAGGCTGAGGCAGGAGGATCGCTTGAGCCCGGGAGTTTTAGATTGTTGTAAGCTAGGCTGATGCCATGGCAATCTAGCTGGAGCAGCAGAGTGAGACTCTGTCTCAAAAAAAAAGAAAGAAAGGAAAACTAGGAATTTAGTCCAAGTTGGTCTCCATGCAAAGAGAACAGTTATTGCAGAAAACAAACAAAAAATACCAACATTTCCATTGCTAATTGGGATTTTAAAAAGTCTTATAAATGGGCATAACCCCTGGACCAAGTAATTCCAATTACCAAAGATATTATCAAGTCAAGTGTGTAAAGATGTATAAATGACATTCATCTCTGCATTATTTATAATAGAAATAACTAGAAACTATTAAAATGCCCAGCGGAAGGACACTGGCCCAACAAAGTGCAGGATATCCACACCGTGAAATTCTCTGCAGGCATTAGGAATGACATGTGCGAGAAGATTTGATGAGCTAGGAAAATCTTCATATCTATTAAGTTAACTTGAAAAAGCAGGTTTCAATGGAGTATGTAGAACGCTGTTCCATATTCATATCACATTTGCATCGCCATACATATGGAATAGAGTGCTTATCTGAGGATAGGGTGGGATGAGAAGTAATTTTTAATTTTATCTATTTTTTGCTTATATTTTCTGATTTTCTGAAATGAACAGTATTACTCATGCTTTAATTTAAAAATTTAAAAATTTTAAATTATAGATTTTGTAGAATTTAATTAGAAAACCCAAAGCTCCCTGTACATCCCTCCCCTTGCCAGCGGGTGGGCTGTTTGGGGGACAGGACACCCCTAAGGGGGTGGAGGGTCAGTCTCACCTTCTCCCGAAGACGCCCCTGACTCAGGGTCCTGATGTCCCTCAGGCTGCAGGTGTGGGTCCCACTCCGGGGGCAGCAGGCACCGCTGGGCCAGGCGGAAGTCCTCCAGGAGCTCGGGGCTGGTGGCATCGGGAAAAGGCCCCTCTTCCCCCCAGCCTTGCACACCCCTTCTATCTGCATCCTTCTCCTCCACCCAGGCCCAGCGCCGCCGCCGGGGCCGGGGCCCCTTCCCCAGTCCAGGTTCAGCCCAGCGGATCTCAGTCCCCGAGCTGGCCATCGGGCATGGCCAGGGCTTCACCTGGGCCACTTCATCTTTGGGAGACAGGGCTGCCGCTGGGGGCCCCAAAGTCACCTCCGGCTCCGTTCAGCACCAGCCATCCTGCCTGTGGCCTGTCAGGGACACAATGAAGGGGTAACATTAATCCTCAAGTCCCCTTCATTATTCAGACAAGAAGTCACAAGCAGGAACTCTGGACTCAGACAGCCCAGCTCCATCCTCCCCCTCCCCCAGCTGTGTGATTTGGGCAAGTCACTTGGCCTTCCTTTTCTTCACCAGTAAAATTGGGATAATAATTCCTCTCTCCCTCCAGGGATTTATAAACTACCTGAGACATAGGACGAGGAGCCCAGCGGGCAGCACACCAACCAACAGATGTTCGGGGAGGGCCAGCTACTCACTGCGTGCCCGGCCCCAGCTCCGTGCACGGGCACAGGGCACAGGACACAGGACACAGGGCACAGGGCACAGGCCCTGTTCACGGCAGAGCCAGTAGCCCAGGAGGAAGCACACAGACAACCAGCAACTACAAATCCAGGTGAGACGTGGTGGGGAAGTCAGGACAGTCCCAGTTTGGAAGCCACTTTCTCTGGGATCCTTCCCTGACCTCCCTCCATAAGAATTCAGACTGAGAAGAGGGGAACAGGGAGCAGAACATTCCAGTGCCCCAAATAATTGAAAACAGGCACTCAAACACATACGTGTCCACACAGGTTTGGAGCAGCTGCTCACGTAGCCCAAGGTGGAAACAACCCAAATGTCCGTCAATAAACAACTTGTGGTATCTACATATAAAGTAATATTACTCAGCCATAAAAAGAAATGAAGGAAAAAAAAAAAAAGGAATGAAGTCCATACATGTGCTATAACATGGGTGAACCTCAAAAACATGCTAAAAGAAAGATGCCAGACACAAAAGGCCACGTATGTTAGCCTGATACCACAGATACGAAACGTCCAGACCGGGTAAATCCGCAGAGAGAAGCGGATTGGCACTTGCCAGGGGCTGGGGAGGGGGGCAGTGACTGCTGAATGGGACAGTTTCCTTTTGCAGTGACACGAGTGAGTGCTTTGCAAGTAGACAGAGGTGGTGACTACACAACATTGTCAATGTACTAAATGCCACTGAATTGTTCACCTTAAAATGGTTAGTTTTATGTTATTATCTGAATTTTACTTCAATTAAAAAAAAAAGCCTTCCAGGCCAGGGAACCTGGGGGCAGGAGGGAGCGAGCCTGCCAGGGACTTTCCTGGACATGGAAGTGGTCTCCCTGGTGGCTGTGGTTAGGAGGACACAGGGTGGGTGACACTGCGAGCAGGGGGTGGGCAGGGCAGGGGTTGGCCAGACCCAGGAGGGCCTCTCGGGGCCTGCCCAGGAGTTGGATGCGCCTCCCGGGCACGGAGAGTCCCATCATCGGTGGCTTAGAAGTTTCCCTCTGGCTGCTCTAGGAGGATGGGCCAGGACAGGGGAGCTGGCCGCATGGGGACTTCAGACGGCTGTGGGGGGGACAGGGCGGTGGAGAAGGGCTTCCCCTTCCTCCGCCTTCCTTCTATTCTCTCCTTCTTCCCTGCTTTTCCTTCTCCCTCTCATCTCCTTTCGCCTCCTCCTGCTGTTCCCCCAAGCACTTCCTCCGTGCCAGGCACTGTGCCAGGCCCCGGAAACACAAAGCTGACGCAGAGCGGGCCCGTCCCGCCTGGGAGCTCCCGGCCATCGGTGTCAAAGGACTGCAGCAGGTCGGCGTGGTAAGGTCCCCCAGGTCAGCTCATGTAAAGTCCTTCTTCTACAGGTGGGGAAACTGAGGCCCAGAGAGAGGAGAGGCCTTGCCCAAAGCCACACATGGGTCAGGCTGGGGTGAAAGTCAGCCTCCTGGCCCACGGTCCCAGCTCTTCCCTCCACGCTGTGGCCAAGCGGAATATGACTCCTGGCCTCCCAGGACAGACGTGTCTGTGTTTATCCCATCGGCCTGGCCTCGTGAGCACTTGGATCCTGGTCAGGGGCCTTCATTTGCATGGTTGGGAAATGTCAGCAGGCAGCTATTTCTGGACAGCAAGTTCCCCAGGGAACAGCACAGCCCGAGAAAGGCTGACTTCTTAAGGGCTGGGGTAGGGACGGTCTTCCCTTCTTGGCTGCAAGTGCTGCTCTGTGAACGGGGGCTCAGAATTTCTATCCTCTCGCCCTGCCCAGTCTTCCTCTCTGCACCCCCAAACGCGGAGCCCCAGAACTCCCTCCAGACTGCCCCGTGTGCTGCTCCCAGCCCCACCCACCCACCACATGCCCTGTGCCCGCTCTGTGTCGCCTGGCTAGAAGCTTTACCCACGTGTTCTCCATCTGCCCTCCCACAAACACACAGGGTAGGTCATAGGAAAACTATTTTTCAGATGACAAAACTGAAGCTCAGCATGGAACAGTGACTTAGCCAAGATCACCCAGGTGGTTAGTGCCAGAGCAAGATCTGCAACTGTCAATTTTGGCCCAGCTGTCTCCAATTTTTTTTTTTTTAATCACACAACCCATCAGAAAAAATATATTGGTTGCACACCAATATATATTATACATTCCCCGTAACTTTATATACATGTGTTCTCACGCTAATACATTATATGCATTAGAAATAGTATTTCCAAAAGTAAATTACAAGGATGCAATAGAAAACAAATACAGCTGACCTTGAACAACATGAGTTTGGACTGCACAGGTCCATTCATAGGTGGATTTTCTTCCTCTTCCGCCACCCCTGAGACAGCAAGACCAACACCCCTTCTTCCTCCCCCCCTCCTCCTCAGCCTACTCAACACGAAGACAAAGAGGGTGAAGACCTTCATGAAGATCCACTTGCACTTAATGAAAAGCAAATATATTTTCTCTTTCTTATGACTGTCTTAAAAACATTTTCTTTTCTCTAACTTACTTTACTGGAACAACACAGTATATAACACACAAAATATGTGTCAATCAACTGTTTATGTTATCAGTAAGGCTTCCGGGCAACAGAAGGCTGTTAGTAGTTTTGGGGAGTCAAAAGTTATATGTAGATTTTTGACTACATGAGGGTTGGCGCCCCAACCCCCACCTTGTTCAAGGTCAACTGTATTTTAAGTAGAAGTTCGAACCCTTGCTTCCCATCTTCTGCAGGGCCTGGGCCCCTCCTGGAAATGGCTGCCAGTGATCCTAAGCTTGAGTGTGCTTGAGAATCCTCTAAGCATGCAGATTCCCAGGTGGACCTGCAGAGACTGCCCCAGTGGCCCCAGGACAGGGCCCAGGAATCTGCATTTCAAACCAGGGCCTCAGGCAGGACCCACCCTTTGACACTCACTAGCTCCTCCTCCCACGGCAGGTGCGGGAGGTGCTACACTTTAGCCGTTGTTTTTCTCTTTCTGAAGTCCCTGAGGAGGAAGGGGCCAGGGGAGATGTGTGGTTTTCTGACTTTTTAAAGGGCTTTTTTCTAGCCCTGCCACAGAGCTGCCTGCCCAATCACGACGCCTGTGGGTGCACAAAGAGGAACATCCTGTCTTCTGGGATGACTCAGTCTTCGCAGAAATCTCACTTTAGGAGCCCGTCAGAGGCAGCTGCGGTTACCGGCTGGAGTTCTGCACCTGCCGCTAAGGCACCTAAACCTGTGAGTCCTTCCTGAGCCAGCCTCTGTCTTCCACGACAATTCCATGCCAGCCATGGCCCTCGGTGCCATGGAGCCTGGGGCTGGCTGGTCAGCTAGCTGTCAGTCAGCAAACACACCTTAGTGCCAACCACATGCCAACCTCAGGCTGGGACGATGCTGTGACAGAAAAGCAGACCAGGTGACCAGGTTCAGGCCCTGGTGCTGCTGCTATTTATGGTGTGTGGCTGGGCTTAGATTTTGCTCACTGTAAAACAGGGAAAACGCCCCCTGCTCTTGCTACTGCAAAGGGGTATCGCCCTGCTAGCTGGGCTGGGAGGCAGGGGGCAGGGCTAAAAGCACTTCGAAGTTCCCAGTTGACTCAGCTCCTGAGGCCAGCAGCCTCAGAACCGTCACCCTCCCTCCTGCTCCCTGCGGTCACCTTTCAAAGTACCAAAGATACATACTGAGCCCCTAGTGGGTGCAAATTAACTTTAAAGAAAACCAAACAACCACCTATGACGCCCTACTATATGCCAGGCACAACGTAAGACACAAGGAATACCGAAAAGAGTAAAAGCGTTCCCAAACTTCAAATGGCAGGGGACGGGACAACACAGAGGGGATATCGAAGAAGGAAGCTTTAAGATGGGCTTGAGGAAACAAGAGGGCTTGGGGGTGGGAAAGGCAGGGCTTTCCAGGCAGAGGGAACGGCATGGGCAAAGGCACGGAGGCCTGAAAGTAGGAACTGAGCTTGCAGGAGAGCCCAGGGCGGGGTCCCTGCACCCAGGCAAAGGCAGGGTGCCCAGGGCAGCCTTGATTAGGGCAGCAGGGCTGTCCTGCAAGGGCATGGGTCTGGTGAAGGCTCCAGCCGTGTGAGCTGGCCCCAGGAGAGCCGGCCCCTTTAGGATTAGGTCCCCGCAAGGAGTGCCATTGGGCTCAGGGTTCCCATCAGCCCTGGAGAAACTGGCCCCACAAGGAAGTACCAGTAACTGTCGCTCTTCCTTCTGTACATCTCCCCCTGCCCCGTGCCACCCCTGCAGCCCCGGCTCTCCTGGGTCTAACAGACACCCCCCCCAACCCCAAGGTGTCTTTCTTTAGTGTCTCTGTCCTGGGTGGGACAGACTCCTCTTCCCCACCACCCCCACAGAGCTCCTTTGCCCACGGCCCCGCCATTCCAAAACTGAGGACCCTTCCTTTAGGCTCAATCACTCCCAGCTCCATCGCTGCCCACAGTCTCCCAGGTCCTCCTCTGCCGGCACCGCCAGACAGCCCCTTCACCCTCTGAAGCCCCTTCCCATCCAGCCAGGGCTGTCTAGGGCACGCCCCTGCTCCCACCCTACTCTGACACCTCCCAGGTAAGGAAACTGAGGCACAGAGAAGTGCAGCCTGGGGACTCAAAGCTGGGGTGCCACGACTCTGAAAGCAAGGCTGTCAGACCTGGGTGGGGCGGGATGAAGGGGAAGGAAGACCCCCCCTCAATTCAAACAGCCGAGCCCTCCAAAAGGGCTGGGCTGTTGGGCCCAGCCCCCCACCCTCCCCCCAGCTGGCAGGGCACAGACCTGCCCTGCTCAAGGGGTTTCCACCAGCTGTGTAGAAATCGGTCCCACAAGGAAGCACCAGCCACTCCCCTCCGCCTGTCCCCTCCCTGCCCCCAGCTTGCCCAAGCAGCAGAGGCTGCAGAGAAAGAGAAACGGTGCCCTTGTTGCTGCTCTGGTCCCCATCCCCAAGGCTGAGCTGGGTCTGCTGGCCCTCGGGACGTCTTTGGCGCCTCTCCGCGCCCTTGCAGCTGGCAGAAGGGGCCACTTCTTCTGTGGGCACCCCCATGCTGTCCTGGCCTGCTCCCTGTGGCCGCATCCTCACCGAGGCCCCTTAGGAACCCATGGCACTAAGTCTCATGTGCAGATGAGGACACCCAGGCACAGAGAGGGACCACTGCTTGTCCAAGTTTACAGGAGGTCAGAATCAGGCTGAGACTGGAATCTGGCATCCTGAAGCTTGATGAAATCCCCTAAAATCCAACCCTGCTGGGGGGCCAGGCTCCCCCACACTACCGCCACGGAGAGAAGTGGTGCAGCTGCAGCAGCTGCAACTTCCTGGCTGGGCTGGGCTGGGCTGGGCTGGTCCGGCTGCCAGGACTGGCCGGAGAGTCAGTGACTGGCCCGTCCAGGAGGAGGGTGGCCTCCCGCCTCCTCCGCCCCAGCCCCTTACCTCTCTCTCGCTCCACCACCATCCTGCCGGCCCAGGCTCAGGGGACCTGCCTGAGAGGTCTTTGTTCCAAACCTGGGGAGCCCCCTGCCTCCATTGCGCCCTGGCCCGCCTCCAGGCCCGTTCTGCCAGCCGCTGCTGCTTGCAGACAAGCATCGCTCCCTCCTCTCCCCGCCCCTGCTGCGGCTGGGCGCCTCGCCTGGGCAGGAAGCGCCCAGCCTGATTTCCTACAAGTGTTTGTCAGAAGGAGGGGGTTTGTCTGCGTGCAGAGCCTGAGCCAGCGAGGAGCTTAACCCCTTGCGGGCCCTCTACAGGTCTGCGCCGGCCAGGAAAGGACTCCCACAGCGCCTGATGTCCCAGGCTTGGGACCATCTCCGCCAAGGCCCTTGAGGTACGGAAGGGGAGACCAAAGCCCAGAGAAGGTCAGAGGCTTGGCCAAGGTCACAAAGCACGCCAAGCCTGGGAGGAGGCCTCCAGCTGCCTCAGACCTCTGGGAACTCCTTCCGTGCCAGGCCCTTCTCAACCAGGGCATGCCCCTGGCCGAGGCCCGCTCCCTCACCAGGCCTCAGGGGCCATCTGCACAATGGGCGTGCAGGCCCAGGCTGCTCCTGCCCTTCCAGCTCTGACTCCGTGTCCTGTCTGCCAGCGTGCAACCCAACATCTCGGGGAGGCTGCCAGTGCTCCTGCCAGCTCACCCACTGTCCTCACCCCAACGGGGGCCTACAGCCAGCGTGGGATTGCCCAGGCTGCGTGGAGGTGGTGACCTGGCTGATGGGGTGAATTCCCCAGGTCTCACCAGCTGCTGTCAGGGGACAGATTTATCCCGACGGCCAAGCTGCCTTTTCCCAAGCCCTGTTCCTCCCATTCCTTCATCCACAGGTACTCGCTGAGGTCCTGCCACCTGTCAGGTGGCAATAGGGTGGCAGTCCCTCTCCCAGGCTGCTTTTGGTAGGAGCAATGTCCAGGGCTGATCCCAGACCAAATAGAACCCATCTCTGGGGATCAGGGATTTTAAGTTTCCCAGGTGAGGCGCTGGCAGAGAGTAACGGGTCACGGAGGAGGGTTATGGGATGGCCAGGGAGGTCTCTGTGGAGGAGGTGACATTCAAACAAGAGCCTGGCAGGAAGAGGGGGCCAGAGCAAGCCACAGAGGCTGGGGCAGGGTGTTCTGGAAGGGCCAGTGCAGAGGCCCAAGGTGGGCGCCAGCTGGGCTTTCCCTGAGAGCAGCCAGGCCTGAATGCCCGAAGCAGAGCCACGTGGGGGTGAAGGAGGGGGCCCCCTCTGCCTGCACACAGGGCTCCCAGCTCTGCCTCACCTGTGACTCAGAGGTTCTGAGTCGGGAAACAAAAAGGAAAAGGAAACTTCAGGCCTACGCAGTGTCCAAAAAGCCCTCCAGGTGATTCTGCTAAACTGCAGGTGTAGGAGAGAACAGTGGCTGTCGCCATCCGTGCACCAACTCAGACCTGAGTTCAAACCCCACCCCACTGCCTGCCTGCTCTGACCTTGGAGGCTTCCCCTCTCTAAGCCTCAGGCGACAGAAGAGGAGCCACCTCCAGGGCTGCTGTTGAGATGCAAGGAGGTAGCGCCTGCCGGTGCAGCCCAGGGGCCTGGAACGTGGCTGCCATTTACTGTGCTATTTTATTCCTGTTACTCAGGTACAGTGTCTGTTCTCCTCCAAAGGCTGGATCTTAATACCTCCGTGTGCCTGGCACGCTGTTTGTGGCTGATGAACGTGTCTGCTGAATGGATGAATGGATGGATGGACTGTCCCAAGGTCAGCTTGCAAGTACTGTTCCAGGTGTCCTCACATCCCAGTGATCACCCCACGCCCCTACCCCCTTCCCCACCTTTACCCACAACCGGATGTCTGTCGGGCTCCACCCGCAGCCCCCAGGCCAACGTGGAGCAGAGCCAGATCCCACTGAGGCCCCTCCCCGCTGGCTCTGGCGACCATGTGGGCCATTGTGCGAGGGGCGGGCCTCCCTGACACCCTGTCACTCACTCACCCTCCCTCCCTGGTCATTAGCCCAGGCAGCACTGCCATCAACGCCAGGTGGCTGCCACTGCTGGGCACGCCCCGTGGCCCCTGGATAACCCCAAGCCCATCTCAGGGGCAGCCACTTAACCCCAAGGAGACCGGCCTCCAGTGCACCCTGTGCAACCTCCGTGCCTCCCCCAAGCCTGGCAGCCTCCTCCCTGCCTCTGCTCGAGGGCACCGCTCTTGGAACACCACCCCCACCCACAGGCCAAATTCCTCACACATGCCCCAAACTGAGCTCGTAAGGTTGCCGCCCTCCACACCCACCCAACCGTAGTCGGGGCCACCTTTCACCCAGGCACGCTGCCAGAACTGTCATCCCGGACTCTTCCCGCTCCTCACCCCCCAGAACCCATCCACCGCCAACTTCCGGTGACTTTATTTTCTAGACCTCACCAGAATCTGTCCCACCCTGCATCTCCACATGGCCTCCTGCGTCCGCCTTGCTTGGAAAGCTCTGGGTCCCCTAATCCATGCCCCACACCGCACCAATGGCATCTTCCAAACACAGGTTTCCAAACACGCCCCTCCACGCTTAAAGCACTCGGATAGCTGCCGTCCCTCTGAGGAAGACGATGCTACTCCAGCCTCCTCTCCCGCCACCCCGTGCCCTCACCCAGCGTGCTCCTCCCGCGCGGGCCACCTTGCTGTCCCTGGGACAGATGTGCCCTGCCCCTGCTCCCTGTTACCCTCCAGGCAACTGGCAGGTCTCGGCACCGGCCTGCCCTCCTCGGGGCTCGCCATTTGGAATTACGCTCGGTGTGTGATCATTTGACTAATGTCTGTCTCTCAACTCGGTTTGGGGCCCTGTGAGGCACTCCCCGTCACGTCCCGGTGCCCAACACACAGGCCCTGTACCCCATAGAAACTCAGGGCCTATGTGCCGGATGATCCACTAAACCTGAACCTGACCCACCCTCATAACAACCCAGTGAGGCTGGCGAGCTGTCCCCATTTTACAGCTGGGTAAACAGAGGCCCCTAGAGCCCAAGCAACTTGCCCAAGGTCATGAAGCTGATGAGCTCCAGTGGAGTTTCAATCTCGAAAAGACCAGCTCCTGCTGAGCAAGCTTGGAGCTCACATGGCGGCAGCCCGCAGAGATAATGAGTACCTGCCCACAAGCAAATCCAGAGCGGAGCTTATTACTAGCTAATTGCAATGCACTAAGCCAGTGGTCCAACTTTATAGCGAGGCCCTGGTGCTACACAGACAGAGCCTTTGGTTTTCCAAAGTGCTTTCTCATCCTTCATCGCACTGGATGCTTAAGAATGGCATCGGGAAATGGGCATGCCAGGAGTGTTACTGCATTGCAGAGATGGGAAAACTGAGGCCCAGAGAGGGAAAAGGTTAGATCCCAGTCACCCGATAAAGAAACAAGAACAAAGCAAAACAAACAAATTGGCCCTTATGGCTAGGGCTTGCGCACTCTCCCCAGCTACAGGCCCACTACAGGCCCACGTGTGGCCACACCTGCACAAGGCCACCAGCCCTCCATGGCAGCCCAGCAAGCCTCAGCCACTCGCTCCCTCTAGCCTCTGGGTCACGATGTTCTAGCGCCACAGTGACAATGTCTCACCCACTTGCTCATGGCCCATCCACTCAACCATCCCTTCCCTCTCTCCCTCCCTCCACGATCATTTCTGAGCCCCACCTAAGTGTCAACATATTAACCAGACTTGAAGGTGGCTTTTTAATCTTTTTTTTCCTTTATACAGGTGCAGCCCAGGACTGGGATGGGCCACACTTGCTGCTATGACAAGCCCCAGACAGCCAACCCCTCATACCACATCCTGAGGCCCAGGGGTACAGTGGGGCTACCAGGCTTCTCAGCCACCCCCGTGGAAACCAAGAGCTGGCAACTTCAGGAGCCCTGGGGGCTAAAGGCTGTGTTATTCTACCTTCCACCTCTCCTTGGGCTCCCTGCCTCTCCCTTCCCTGGAAAAGACAGGAAAACCCACCCTAAGATTCCCCCTCTCCTTCCTGCGCAGGCTGCTGAGTCTAGCCCTGGAGTTAAAATCCACAGGGAGTCCGAGGCAGAGAGGAGGCAGGTCAGGATTTCAGGAGTGGACCACGGGGAATGGATGGAAGCCTGTCTGGGAAGTGGAGACCCAAGTTCCAGGCTGAGTGACCTGTTCCTCCGAGCTTTGGAACCTGGGGGCTTAATAAGATTATCTCTGAGGTTCTCAGAGATTATCTTCTAACACTAAACCTCCTGGATCCTTTATTCCCTTTGCCCACACAGGCAGAAATGCCAAGCTGATGAGAGGCTGCAGGGTGCAGGGGTTAAAGGCACAGGGGCCTTGTGGGCAAGCAGAGAACTTCAGGGAGAACCCTTGGAAGCTGGGTGGCCTAGGGCAAGTCACTTAACCTCTCTGAACCCCAGATTCTGCATCTGTAAAATGGGGGGAGTAACTGCAGGAATAAATGGCTTTGCCTTATCAGTGGAACTCCCACGCGGCCTGCTCCCTGCAGGGCTGAGTTTCATTTTCCTGACCCTGGAGCTTCCCCAATATCAACCACAGGGCTGCTTTGAGCACTAGAGACTCCCAACTGGAGGGGAGCGCTGCCCCTTCCCTGCGGCCCCCGGACAAGTCCCAGGGCTCAGTGACCCTGTTAGCAACCGTGTCCCCACTCTGAGCAGTTAAGGAGGGGGGGGACACAGGCCTTCTTTGGCCAACTGAGATATGAGGAGGGTGTGGCCCCATTGAAGAAAACACTCTCAAATTCGTGTTCTTTTCAAAGAGTCAAAGAAACAATGTATTGCTAATGGCAAAGCTTTATTGAGCATCTATTAGGCGTCAAATATAAAAGACTTCGTGGATTCAGGATCGCATCATTTAATCCTCATACCAATCTAAGGAGGGAGAAATTATTATGCCCATTTTACAGATGAGGAAGCTGGGTTTGAACCAAGCTGTCTGAATCCAGAGAGTAGAATTTTAATCACTTTGCAACGCAAACCTTCAGTAGGTGAAAAGGTTGGAAACCACTTCAGTGTTTCCAACCTGAGATGGTAGGGAATCATCGAAATAAATTATAATATTTCCACTCAAAGCAACAACATTAGGCAGCTATTAACAGTCATGCTATAGACAAATATGAAATGAGAGAAAAAATTGTGATGTGTTATGTAAATAAGCCAGTTATAAAATAATATGTATCTAGTTTGAGTCCATTAAGGAATAAAACAGTAAAATATGGAGGAAGAGAAAGAGAGAGAAGGACGTGCTCCAAATGTTTACAGTAATTATCACTAGGTAGTAAGACTACAGGCAAGTTTACCATTCTTCCTGTTGAAAATAACAACAGCTTTAAAAATAAGACTAAAATGAACATTTGCTACTCTTAAAACCAAAAAATGCAGACTTCACATCTGTTCAGTGCTTCCTGCTGACAAGGAACCTCGACCACCTCCCGCCTCAGTTTCCCACCTGTGACAGTTGAGAAGGAGGTTGAGCTCTTTGAGGCCCTTTGCGGCTCTGAGGTTCTGTAATCCCCACACTTTCTCCTTCTCTCTCTCTCTCTCTCTCTCCCCCCTCTCTCTCTTTTTAACTCTGATACCACGTGCTGTCTTTTTCACATATACAGCCGTGATTAAACATGTGGGGACATGTGAAGACGACAAAAAGGAAACGAAGCAATCAGCCCCCAACCTCAGCCACTCTTAGCACTCGGGTGCACAGCATGTGCTGCCTGATTGGCTCCTCAGAAATAATGAGGCATTTAACAGGTGAAGAAAGGCTCAGAGAGGTTACAAGACTTGCCCAACGACACACAGCACCTTAGGGCAGAGTCGGGTCTGCATCCACAAACACGGCTTTATCCTCTAGATGAACCCCTTACGGGGGGAGGGCACGGGGGGGGGGGTGTTAACTGCAGCCTCCTGGCCCTCCCCTCCACAGTGCTTGGTCCTTGGCAGTGGTCCCAGGGCCCCAGGAGACTGACAGCTGGGCATCCCACCCTGGCCTTGCTCCCCGCCCCTCCCCCAGCGCAGGCTGGGCAGGGAGAACGCTGGCAGGGGCCCCGGGACCAGTGTGGGATCAGCCCTGGAGGCAGGGGGTCTCGCTTGGCAATGGAGCCGGAGCTCAGCTGGCACTTGGCAAGGAAGCCCGGAGCCGAGACGGGACTGCAGGCTGGGATGCGACAGGGACAAAGGAGTGAAAATGCGAGGCTTTGGGGGCAGCGAGGCCTGGGTCCAACCCTGACAGATCCTCATCTGCAGACAGGACGAGCTTCTCTCAGGGCCGTGTGCAGAATAACGGACAATGTGCTCGCACCGGGACATGCTCGGTAAACGAGGGCTGCTGTCCCAGGCCGCAGCGCCTCCCCTCGGCCGCCCACGCCACACACCCTCCAGCCCCTCAGCAGCGTGGAGAAATCTCGGGCATCATTCTCTTTAGGAGTCTCCCCTGCTTACCGACCGACAGCCCCTGTCACCTTCAGGGTAAAGGCGGGACACTCCGGCCTGGAATTCAGGCTCACACTGACCCTTCCTAAGTCAGGGCAGCTGTACAGCGCAGCCCGCGTCACCGACTGTGAGCCCGTCTCATAAGGGTGTCCCTCCCAAACCCGCACTCGGAGCTGTGCAGGGGAGCAGGCCTTCTGGCTTGGCTCCCTTGGGTTCCCTGTGCCACCCCCAACGCCTGGCACCAGGCAGCTGCAAGGATGGCATTCCATCCCGACACCCTTCACATGCAGCTCTCTTAAAAAAAGACAAAAAAAAAAAAAGCCCTAAATCGCAGTGGTTACTGATTTCTGGGGTGTGAACACCCTTACTACGGCCAGTTTCAAGCTACCAGCATCTATTCCTGGATGCAGCACTGGGAAGAGACAGGCATGAGCAGCTCTCAGGAGCTGACACCAGCACACCCCTGCATGTACCACAGTGAGGACCAGCTACTCCCAGGGAAGAGCTGTGTGACTTTAGTCAAGTGACTCAACCTCTCTGAACCACAGGCTTCTCATCTGCATAATGGGGACAACAATAACGCCCACCTCAACAACATCATGTACCTGAGTGATATGATCTATATGATCAACAACAATGTACTGAGTACCTACTATGGGCAAGGCTTCTTACTGGACACTGGAGAGTGACAGTGGTGACAAAATGGATAAGAGGCCCTGCCCTCCCAGACCTCACTCCTTGCAATAAAACCCTAGGCACTGAGGCTAGAATACAGCATTTAAGAAGCATTAGCTGTTATTATTAATGGTATTATTGTTGTTATTCCTTCCTTTGTTGGGACCTCAGTTTCCCCATTTCCAAACTTATAATGTGGACTGAGCAAAGCTTTCTATGATGCCACCTCACTTGAGACTTAAAAAGGAGCTAAAGTGGGCATTACCATCCTCACTTTATAGAGGGGGAAACTGAGGCTGTCAGAACTGAAGCTGGGCTGAGGATCTGAACCCAGGTCTTCTCACTCCTGGTCTCCAAATTGTTCCCACCTTCCAGGACTGAGGACACATAAAAAAGGACCTGGCATTCAATCGGTGATGTGAATGTTTAAAAATACTCTTCCTTTCTCCCCCTCACAGGGGTAAACTGCATCAGTTTCCAAAACCCCCTCTCAGCATGCCGGCCCGCAGCGCTGGGACTGTTCCCGGTCACTCTGGAAACCCCAAGCCGGGAGCCTCTGGCAGAGTCCGCAGGACAGTGGGAGCTGATGAAATCCCCTTGCAAGAAACAGCCCCAATCACATGTTTCAAATGCAAACCGGCTGGACTTCGGGAGGCAGAGGCCACATGTGGGCACCTTCTTCCTCCTGCAGAACTGAGACTATCCCTGGAGATAAACCCAAATAGAGAGTCCCCCAAACACCTAAGTTCCATCTCCCTGTTGGTAAGTAAACCAGACGCAGGCCCCTTCCAACAGATGGGCTGCCATTCTGTTTTCTTAACAAAACAAACCAACCAAAAAACAACACCCACCAACTCCAGAGAAGGTGCCTGGAAAGGGCTTTTGGGAAGTCCCTGTATGTATCTCACTTCAGTCTGCCATGCTTCAGTTTCAGCCCATTTCTTCTTCTTCTGTTCTAGGGGACAGGAACAATGTCTCTTTTCACTGCAGCCTGTCTCAGCTTCTCTCCTCTGCTCCAAAACAGCCTGGGTTTGTTATCAGCAACTTTCCTTTCCAACTTTCTCACTCAGAAGCAGGTCTTTAAACACAGGTAATGATCCGCTCCAACCTGTCATTTCTTTCAACAAAAGCCCAGGAAAGGAGCACTGGAAGAGTGTCGCCCAAGGCCACACAGCACGCAGGCTCTGGCTGCGCCAGCCCCATCACCCAGGGGAGAGAGAGCCCGGCTCTGCGCCTCCCTGCTGTGCTGCCCCGGGCGAGCCGCGCCCCCTCTCTGGGCCTCCGTCGCCTCCAGCGCACCAAGAGGGGACCCGCCTTATTCCTGCAGCCCGCCACAGTTCCTAGCCCCGTCGAGCTGCCCACCCCTCGCTCCACCTCCCTCCCCCTGCCAGAAAGAGGAAAAGAAACTTGCGTTAGGCGTCCGGGGAGGGCGCGCGGGCTGTTGCCGGGAGAGCGAACCCCGCGCAAATCCCGGCACAGAAAGGCCCCACCTCCGCGGTCGCCACGGCAACCCGGCCACGCCTCCGGCCCCAACACAGCCCGAGGCCCCGCCAAGACCACTCCCGGCTCCCTGGGGACCCTGCCCTCCCCGCCCCCGGCCGCGGCGGCGGAGAGAAACGCCAACGCCCCCATTGCGCGGAGGTGGAGACTGAGGCCGCAGGGTGGGCCGGAGCCCCGTAGCCGGCGGGGTGTGGACTCGGGGCCCGCCCGCCCGCCCCGGGCCCCCTCCCCACCCGCGCGGCGACCCGTCTCCTTCCTGCGCCCGCGGGGTCTCCACGTGGGGGAGACGGAAAGCGGCTCTGCCGCGGCGGAGCGCAGCCGCCGGCGCCGGCCGCTCGCCCCCATTCTCCCGACGGAGACACTGAGACCCGCCCCGGACCCCGGCCCTCCCCGCGCCTCACCTGCCCGCGCCGCCGCGCGCCCGCGGTCGCCGGATTGAGCGGCAAACAAAGGCCTCCAATCCGGGCGCGCGGCGGCGCCGGGCGGCCCCCGGGGGCGGGGCCTGGGCGGCTCCGCCAATCGCGGGAGGCGGCCCCAGCCCGCGGCCCGCCCCCAGGGCTCGGGCGCCGGGAGCCGGCTCGCGCCGCGGGACGGAAAATCCCAACCCCGAGGCCGCGCGTCGCCGCCGCCATCAGCCCGACCAGACCGGGAGGTGGAGGCTCGGAGGGCCAGACGCTTGTGCGAGGGGTCACAGAGCCACGGCGAGGAGGAGATCAAGCTTTTATGGCTGAGTCGGACTGCTGAATAACAGTGATGATAGTGAACTTGTCTTGAGCGCTGAGTAGGTGTCACCGCTGTCAGTTCTCACCACGCTGTCTTCTCCTACCAGGTAGATAGGTGTTATCATTACGCCCCCTCCGCCCC